AATATTCTATTTGACCTTACAATTTGCTAATGTTTAGAACTCAATATTATTTTTCCTAAAAAATGAACAATTTTTCTTTTTCATTATAAAGTCATAAAGATATCCTTACAGTCAAGTATTTTATATTGAACTTTCTCTTCCTTAGTTGTCATTAAATGTAGTTTGATTATGATATTTTCTCTGAATTCAGCATTACTTCCTCTTGGTTCCATGTTCTCACCTGCATGTTATGTATAAACAATTGTTTTGAACTTGAAAAGCATCTGTAGTTATATTGAAACCTTGTACTTTGTTTCCAGACATTCTGTTCCTTTAAGTGACTGGGATAAGGTTGTACACTGAGACTAATATGATCAAAACTCTGCTGGTAAGAAATGTAAGTAAACTGGATTCAATTACATTAGTAATATAAATATCAGGCTACTCTTAGTTCCTTTTCTTTGAGATACTTAAAACCCTTTGACTATTAATATAAAGACTTTCAAAAATTCTATTTATTGATTTTAAGAGAGAAGAGGAAGAGAGAGAGAGAGAGAGAGATTTGTTGTTCCACTTATTTATGCCTTCGTTGGTTGCTTCTTAAATGCAGCCTGACTGGGGATCCACCCATAACCTTGGTATATTTAGGGTCAACACTCTAACCAAACTGAGCTACCCAGCTAGGACCTAGAGAAAGACTGCTTAAGATTTTCAGCCTACTTAGACAGAAAACAATGATAATATTCAAATTGTTTCCTAATGGCTATTATTAACCTTAAGATATCATCATAAGAATAACTATATTTAGCCCTAGCTGATTTGGCTCACTGTATAGATAGTTGGCCTGGAGACTGAAGGTCCCAGGTTCGGTCAAGGGCCTGCACCTTGGTTGCAGGCACATCCCCAGTGTGGGATGTGCAGAAGGCAGCTGATCAATGTTTCTCTTATATATGTTTCTAACTCTCTATTCCTCTTCCTCTCTGTAAAATATCAATAAAATTTAACTTTATTTTAGCTATATTTAACTATATTTATCTATAGTGAGGTCAGTGGTGGCCCTTAAAAACACAGACCCATGTCCTACTTCCTGAAACTTCTGAATGTTCTTATTGGTGGGAGAGGGGCCAAGGGGATGGGGGTGGGGGGTCTTTGCAGAGGCAATTAAATTAGTGATTTTGGGGTGGGGAGGCTGTTCTGGATTATCTGAATGAGTCTTAAAAGCCATCACGATTTCTTATAAAAGTAAGGCAGAGGCAGGTTTGACAGGCACACAGAAGACACATCCTACATTCTAAGAAACGGCTCTTGTAAATGGGATGAAAAGATGTTTTGGTCAATGAGAATAGTTATGCATGTATTTAACCACCTGTCTTAACACCAATCACATGCTGATTATGGGTATAATTATCTAATTCCTTTCTTAGAACTGCAGTAACAAATTACCACAAACTGCATGACTTAGGACAGTGTTTCCCAATTTACTTTAAAAGTACATTATAAGAAAACATGATTTTTCCACAAATTATTTCAGGTATGGTGTGGGGATCAAATAAGCAATAACACGAGTAGATTTAACGACGTCTTTCTGGGTCAAAGTAGACAAAATTATTGCCATGTCTTGATGCTTGAAATTATTGCATTTTACTTTTTTATAAAAAAACAATGACTTTGTTTTTTATGATTTTCCAGGATTAAAAAAAAAATAAACTATTTGCCATCAACCTTATTTCCGTTCTGTTATGAGTTTGTGGAAGAACAGCTTAGGACCACTTTGGTTGTTCCTATCCATTTGGTGGCCTGAGCAGGGGGGGCTGCAAACAGGTCTTCAGTGGCAGGCTGAGCAGGAAACTGCATTACGGGCACAGAGGGCACCTGCACACCTTCAGGCCTGTCTGCCGACCTCAGGCTGAGCAGCAGTGAACTTGGGAGCTGGAGCAGCCCATTCACCCTAAAACTTCTCCTTGGTCACAGCCTTTTCAGCAGCAGCTTGCTCTTCCTTTTCAATCTCTTCAGTGTCTCTAATTTTCATTTTGTTTGTAAATGCCTTCTCAAACACTTCTTTGTATTTGACGCATTGAGGAAGAAAGAGCTCAGGCTTCCTTCTGAATAGTTAGAACTCAAACTAAGTTGCAAGTTTGATATGAAATTCCTGTTAGTGTTGAATACCTGAACCTGCCATAAGGGTAGACATAGCCACATGTGGCGACTGAGCACTTGAAATGTGGTTAGAAGAACTGAATTTTAAACTTTACTTATTTTTTTATTAAATTTTTAATTAAAAAATTGGTAGTTGATTCAGTTTGGAAACATTTTAAGTATGTTTGAAATAACGGGCACGTGAATATTTTTCTATGGTAAATTTAATTAAATCTAAATACAGATCAGGTATTTCCAATGAAAAGTTAGCATGCAAATAGAACTTACACAAAGGGTAATATACACATTGCATTTTAAACTTAGTACAAAAAAAGGAATGTAAAATGCCTCATTATTTACTAGAGGCCCAGTGCACAAAATTCCAGCCTGGTGTCCCTCAGCCCGGCCTGCACCCTTTTCAATGTGGGATCCCTCTCATAATCCAGGACTGCTGGCCCCCAACTGCTCACCTGCCTGCCTGTCTGATTGTCCCTAACTGCTTCTGCCTGCCAGCCTGATCACCTTCTAACCATTCCCCTGCCAGCCTAATCAACACCTAACTGCTCCCTTACCAGCCCAATTGCTCTTAACTACCCTCCCCTGCAGGCCTGGTCCCTCCCAACTGCCCTTCCTTGTAGGCCTGGTCCCCCCCCCAACTTCCCTCTTCTGCAGGCCTGGACCCCCCCCCCCCAACTGTCCTCCCCTGCAGGCCTGGTCCCCCCCAACTGCCCTCCCCTGTAGGCCTGGTTGCTCCCAACTACTCTCCTCTGCGACCCAGTCCCCCCTAACTTCCGTCCCCTTTAGGCCTGGGTCCCCACCAACTGCCTTCCCCTGCAGGTCTGGTCTCTCCCAACTGCCCTCCCCTGCTGGCCATCTTGTAGTGGCCACCTTGTGTCCACCTGGGGGCAGCCATCCTGTGTGATGGAGTGATGGTCAATATGCATATTACTTTTATTAGATAGGATTAGATATGATTAATAGTCTTGAGATTGCACTCAATAAAATAATTAAATGTCAGCAGTTTCTTCATACTTTTAAAAAGTGGCTACTATAAATTTAAAATTACATATATGGCTCACATTTTATTTCTAGTGGACAACCATGATCTAGACAGCCTGGCAAATGGAAACAACCCCTTAAATGGTGACTATTATTTGCAGGAAAGGAGTCAGAATGTTATTTATTACGATTAACCGTGCTTAACATGTAACTTTATTTTTGTTAGTCCCTCAAGTTGTATTTGCAACAGTGAGGGATAGAAGATAATTGTCCGGATAATGGATAATGAAATGGAATTATAAGGGGAGATTTCAGACTAGTCACTTCCTGGTTTGTTTGTTTTTTAATCCTCATCCCAGGATATTTTCCCCATTGATTTTGAGAAGGGGGAAGGACTAGAGGAGAGACACATCCATTGATTGCCTCCTTCAGGCGCAGGGATCAAGCCTGCAACCCAGGCATGTTGCCCTGGACCCAAATCGGACACCCGACCCTCCCATCCGAGGGCCGGCGCTCTAACCACTGAACTGCCGGCCAGGCCAAGACTAGTCACTTTCTGAACATGGTCCCAGGCCCAGAAAATGTCCCAAATTTCTACACTCGCAACACCAATGAGTGCCCCCCACAGCTCCCAAAGCCAAAAACCTGTGGCCTTTCCCTGAAGGTTTTCAATTATTTCCAAAGGAGAACCGCCTCGAGTTCGAGAGGCTCCGGTGTCCCCCAAACTCCGCGCTCCAGGTTCCCAGCCCCAAAGGCGACCCGGAAAAGACAGTCGCAGAAGCGGGCTCGGGCTGGACCGCGAGCCGCACGGGAAGGCGGCGGGCCAACTCCGAGAGTCCCAGACAACCCCGCTCGCTGAGGGCCCAGAAAACTAGCGCAACCGCCCGGCGGGAGGCGGGCCCACGACCCTGCAGAATCCCCGAGCCGGCTTGATGACGCACACAGGGCGCGACGCACGCACACGGCGCGACGCACGCCGCTCCGCGCTCGCACGGCGGTGCGTGCTGGGAGCGCGAGGGAGTCCGGCCGTCACCGGCGCGACCAGCGTCTCCCCCTCCTCCGTACCCTGTCCTCCCGCCACCTCCGCGGCTCGGCGCCCGCCTCCTGCCTCCGTCCGAGGCCTTCGAGGTAGCGAGGCTCCCGGCCTCGCTCCTGTCTCTTTAAATGGTGGGGTCAGTGGGCCGCCCCTGCAGCTGCTGCCTGGGTGGCCCCGCGCGCCGCTATTGAGGGGCGAACCAAGATGGCGGCGGCTTTGGCTCCGTGAGGAAGACGGAAGAGGCGGCGGCAGCGGCGGCGGCGAACAGAGATTTCCGATAGCCCGGGGCGCTCAGCTCCCGGGGGCTCTCGGGGTCTCCCGCGCAGGGGAAGTAGCTGCGGCTGGGGCAGGCGCCTGACGGCGTGGGACACTTGAAGCCGGAGAGCGGAGCGGAGCCGCCGGCTGCGGTGGCAGGGCCAGGTGTAAGGGAGGAAAACATGGCGGCGGCGGCCTGAGGAGGCGGCGGCGGCGGTGGCGGCGCGGGAAGCGGCTTGGTTGGACATCATGGTGGAAGCGGGAGCAGGGCAGTGACCGGCGCCCCCAGTTTGCACCGCGGCCGGGCGGGAGGCTGCGAAGCGCTGCGTCCCCCCTCCCCTCCCCTCGGGACGGCCGGGCTGGCCGGGGCTGGACAATAGCGCCGAGGCCCCGGAGGCGAGGAAAGGCGGCGGCCCACAGCTCTGCCCGGGAGCGGGCCATGCGGGCGGCAGCGCGGCCCCGCGGCGGCCAGCGGCGGCAGTGAAGCCCGGGAGCCCTCGGCTTGCGGGCGTCTTTCCGCCTCGGCTCCCGCCTCCCCGGCCCCTCTTCCTGGGCGACTCCGGCGGGGCCTGTGGCCCGGCCCCCGGGCGGCACGATGACCGACACCAGGCGGCGGGTGAAGGTGTACACGCTCAACGAGGACCGGCAGTGGGACGACCGGGGCACCGGGCATGTGTCGTCGGGCTACGTGGAGCGGCTGAAGGGCATGTCCCTGCTTGTCAGGGCCGAGAGCGACGGTGAGTGACCCCCTAAGGCGGCGGGACCCACGGCCCTGGGCCCCCTTCCCAGGTCCTTTTGGGCTGGGGGGGGGCCTCTTACTGCGAGGACGGAGGGGCGAACCGCCGGTACCCCGCCCCGGGAGCTGCTCGGAGGGCGCTGGAAAGGGGTTCTCCCTCCCAGTGCCTGGTGGCTCTTGCGGGTAAGAGCCCGGCCGGTTCGGGCCGTGCCGTGCCGCCTGGGAGTGTGGGGAGGTCGGAGACGGGATGGGGAGTCCGGGCTGGGTTGTTGGGCGCCCCAGTGACCTTGAGAAAAAGCACTGATTAATCCGAGCTGCCTCCTTAGTTCACCCATCTGTAAAGCAGGCATGCAACTCTTTTTTTCGGAGCTGAGAAAGTTCTTCGCCGTCTCCCTCTTTGGAAGAACATTTCGCTGTGTCTTTTTTCTTTTTTGAACGTTTCTGCTGCACCTTTCTGATCCTGTTGCAGGTTGTCTACAACTGGTTCGTGGTTCTGGCACCTCTACACGCGGTAGAGAAAGAAAAAAAAAAAATGCTTCTTTGCTGTGAGAAAATAAGAGTCGGGTTGCCCCAGCGATGGTTTTCTTTTTCATTAGTGATGCAAAGTTTTGTGTGTCGTTTCACCGTGTAACGGTCTTGCAAGTTTGGAATCGTTCGGTGCCAGCTTTTTTCATTGCTTAAAAGGTGTATTCGTTATTTGGTTCGGTTAACAGGTGGGGGAAAGTTGGCAGATAATCTGAAAAACCGTTCGAATCTGCCCTGGTGCCTGTGCTTCAGATATTTGGAAATAGCCCTCAAGGTTCAAAGACCAAGTTGTTAAAAAAAAAAAAAAAAGTTTCACATTTTTAAAGATTTACTCTTTTGTGATTGCCAATTCGCTCTGTGGTATATGGTGAATTTCACTTAAAGAAAAATGTTCATGTCAGGTAAAACTATTTTCAAATTGCTTTTTAAAATTTTGTCCTTTTTTAATCGAATTTTTGGAGTGACACTATTAACAAAATTATACAGGTTTCAGGTGCAAGAATTTTAATTGGACTCTCTACCCAGAATTCCACTTACATAAAAATCAAAAACTCACCCTTGTGTAATTGAAGATTCTAGGAACATTGATTTTCAATTTGAATGGAAAAAATTTGTAATTTGGAGTATATTGCCAACAGGTTAGCTAGCTTTTTTTTTTTTTTTTTTTTTACACTAAATTATTATCTGTGTACATATACTGTTGCCCCCACACACACACATGCCCTCCCTCCCCAGAGTTTTGTGTCCCTTGGTTGTACTTATATGCATGTATAAAAGTCCTTCGGTTGATCTATCTACCCCAGATCTCCCTACCCTCCCCGCTGTAATTTGACAGTCTGCTTGTTGCTTTACTGTCTCTATATCTTTTGGTTCATCAGTTTATAATGTTCTTTATTATCCATAAATGAGTGAGGTCATGCGGTGTTTCTCTTTCATTGACTGGCTTATTTCACTCAGCATGATGTTCTCCAATTCCATTCAGGTTGCTGCACAAGATGAGAATTCCTTCTTTTTTATGGCAGCATAGTATTCCATTGTGTAGATGTACCACAGTTTTTTGATCCAATCATCTGCTGACGGGCACCTAGGCTTTTTCCAAATCCTAGCTATTATAAATTGTGCTGCTATGAACATAGGGGTGCATATATCCTTTCTGATTGGTGTTTCTAGTTTCTTGGGATATATTCCTAGGAGTGGGATTACTGGGTCAAATGGGATTTCCATTTTCAGTTTTTTGAGGAAGCTCCATTCTGTTCTCCACAGTGGTTGCACCAAGGTTAGCTAGCTTAATATGGCTGCCCAAAATAACTTAAAACGGGAGAGAAATTGGTATTGAATGCATCGGGTATATTTTTTCTGAGACCTATTACAATATGTTTGAATGTCAAGTATTAGTGTATGACTATTAACCTCTACATTTGGGGATGCTTGTAACACTTTTTACATAATAAATTGGAAGGCATGGGCTTTGTTGGTAGGTTCTGTTAACTTTTGGGATGAAAGCATGAGTAGATTTACCATTAAGTCTCTGAAATCTTATAATGTGAGAAAGTCCTATTTCACATCATGTACTTAGATGGATTCAAAGTCTTTAAAGTGTTTTTAAAGCATTAAATCTCAGTGTCATAAATGTCTTTAATGTATGGGGAATCATACTCTTTTTAACCCAATAATTCAGGAATCTTCCCCCTCCCCTTCATTTTTATTTTCACTACTTCAGAAATAGCCTCAAACCTCCTCCCTCCCTTTGAAAAGTTAGCTGCTTGAATGGCTAAAACAAAATGGGTTTAACTTTTCTCTAATAGGAAAAGAGATGAAGTGAGTGGGTTTAGAAAATTCTAAATATTTGTGACATATTGTAAATAATGTTTATTTGATGAGTAATTGTGTGTGTGTTTTTCTACCAGGAAAATTGCAAATAGGAATAATCAAATTTTTTGAGTGCCTACTATGTGCCAAAGATTCTATTGGTATTCTCTGGTATAGGACCTATTATTGGCTGTATTTTACAAATAGGAAAACTGAGGTTCAGAGAGGCTTCTTAACAGCTTAGTTAAGAAGCAAGGTCAGTGTTCAAACTGAGTTTGATTGAGATATCTAGTCTGTGGCTTGAAACTAGTATCAATTTTATTATCATTAATTGTTCACCATCTTAAATTATATTGTCTACTTGCATTTGCTGCTTTATACTTAGATTCAGACTTATCTCAAAGAAAATTAAAAAATTTAGCCTAAAGATTTTAAAATTATAGTTTATCTCCAAGCCACACATGGGAGTTTTTGTATTGACTTCTAGTTAGGATTATCGGTTATTGTGTGCTGTCTTCATTCTCCGTTTGAGATAATTGAGAGGTTTCTTTTTATTGTGATGAACAAAATAGAAAGTATATATGATTTTCTATACGAGTCATTTACCTTGCTAGAGTAGCTTATACACTCATCTCAATTTCTGAATGGAAGTACTCTGGCCTCCCAATTACAGGGCACACCGTCTGGGTAAGTATACTCTTTCCCCATGAAGCTAAGTGGCTTGGCTAATCTTAGCCCATTTTGCCTTGGAAAGGATAGATGTCCCAACAAGCCATTGAGCCCATTTTCTCAATTGCATCCTTATTCAATAGGTTCCTATTGGCAAGAGATGTTGTATTTTTCTTTAATAAGATAGTTTACCTCATTTCTCAGGTTTGTTGTACCTGCGATGTTCCATCTTCCAATAAAGATTACTTAGTATTTTTCTTCTTTCAGCTTATGCTATGTATCTGTTAACTTGGCTGAAGTGTGGATAATGTCATCTCTTACTGACTCTATCACTTTTTTAAAAAATATATTTTATTTATTTTTTTACAGAGCGGAAGGGAGAGAGAGAGAGAGCTAGAAATCTCGATGAGAGAAATATCGACCAGCGGCCTCTTGCACACCCCCTACCGGGGATGTGCCCGCAACCAATGTACATGCCCTTGCCTGGAATCGAACCTGGGACCTTTCAGTCCACAGACCGACACTCTACCACTGAGCCAAACTGGCTTCGGCAAGATTCTTACTGGCGCCGGGACCGGTTTGGCTCAGTGGATAGAGCGTCGGCTTGGGGACTGAAGGGTTCCGGGTTCGATTCCGGTCAAGGGCATGTACCTTGGTTGCGGGCATATCCCCAGTGGGGGGTGTGCAAGAGGCAGCTGATCGATGACTCTCTCTCATCGATGTTTCTAACTCTCTATCTCTCTCCCTTCCTCTCTGTATAAAATCAATAAAAAAAAAAAAAAAAAAAAAAAAAAAAAAAAAAAAAGATTCTTACTGGCTCTATCATTTTATGTTCTAAATTCTTTCCTCCATTATGGTCTTTACCACCTCCACCTGCCAATTTTAGAATCAGTAATAAATTGAAATTTCTCTACACACGTCATTTCTTTGAACAAGAAATAATGTTCACACACTTTACTCTGGTTTACTTGCCAAGCATCATTGCTAATGTTCTTATATTTGTTTTTTACCTTAAGTTTTATAAAGTATTTTTTACATTTCAGAAGAGTTTTATCTATTATCTGACTTGACTCTTTCAGAGTTGAAAAGGTTAAATTTTCACTGTTATAATGAGGCATGAAGAAAATGAGACACGTGGAAATGTTTTGGTCAAGATAGCACTGCAAACTAATGGTAAACACTGAAATTCTGTGCTTCTGCCTCTGGTGGAACTTGGTTGCCTCTACTCCTACTATAATTAGAAAAGGAAGTCAGAACACTTTAGGGTGGGCAAGTCTGACTTGTTTTGGCTGCTATGGTGAGAGAAATGAACAGAGAAAGCAACAGCTTTTTTTTTTTTTTTTTTTTTTTTTTTTAATTCCCATCATAGTAGTGAAGATATTTCCCCAATGGTATGCAGAGAGAGTGGAAGGAGGGGGAAGGGAGAGAGAGAAATACCTAAGTGATAGAGATACATCAATCCGTTGCCTCCCACACGTGCCTAGAGGTGGGAGGGCAGGGATCTGACTTGCAATTCAATGGGACCTGAGACCCTCCCAGTGCACAGACTGATGCTCTAATCACTGAGCAGGCCAGCCATGGGGTGACAAGCATTTTTCATTGCTGTTTGTATAAATCTTGCATTTAGGAAGCATTTCAGATTTAGCTATCAAGAAGAGCTGAGTGTTAGTACAAAGAGAAATAGTTCATTTGAAGAGTTGATTTAAATACGTTTTTTCTTGTGTAGACCTATGTTGTAGAAAATTAATAAGTAACCAAACGCTTATTTATCATCTGTTGCAAGTGATAACAAAGTTAAGGGGCATTAACTACATTGGATATAGTTGATGGGCTAGAGTGTAGTGAAGACTAGACATAGGTGTGGCCCCTTTTAATGTAATGCTACCGATTTTTTTCCCCTAAACCTTAATTTCAGTTTTTATACATCATTTGTAATTTGGTGGCTTGGAACACAGACAGACCTGCTAGAGTTATAAAGCATTCAGTAGTCTCGTGTCCAGATGAGATTTGGACTTCCATTAACTCGTTTTTGGTGGTGTTTTTTCCTACCAATGGAACATTGTACCTGAGCTTTGAGCATTGATAAGAACTATATACTGGAGAAGCCTAGAGGTTTAACTGCTTACTCAGGAGTGACAAAGCTGGAGCTGTTCATTCTGAAATCCTTAAGTGTTTATCCAAATCAAAAGTAAGGACAAGACATATAATACGTTTCTTTAACCCAAACCAGATAATCCCACACTGCCTGAATCTGATTGGTTATTGGTTGATATTAAAAATAAAACCACAGCCGAAACCAGTTTGGCTCAATGGATAGAGCGTCGGCTTGGGGACTGAAGGGACCCGGGTTCGATTCCGGTCAAGGGCATGTACCTTGGTTGCGGGCATAGCCCCAGTAGGGGGTGTGCAAGAGGCAGCTGATCGATGACTCTCATCGTTGTTTCTAACTCTCTATTTCTCTCCCTTCCTCTCTGTATAAAATCAATAAAATATATAAATAAACAAAATAAATAAAAAATAAAACCACAGAAAGTTATAGAGACTCTCTAATATCTCAGTTTTCCAATAAAAGGAAATAACTTCTAAATAAATGAATTTTCTAGATCAATAAAACTGTATACCAGAGATTTAGAACTCTCAACAATTTTCATGTAATGTTTCTTAAGTATATGCTTGAATGTTTTTCTTAAGCAGTGTAATGAGCCGGTTGGTTAACCTTTCATTTGTAATGTGTTTCTAGATTATTTTCAATACTAATTTTCCTACTATATTCACCAGTACAGTGATGCCAGTAACATGATATTCTGTTCATGCTCTAAAAAAAAACAAGAGTGTTAATTATGTACTAGATACTACGATAGGCATTTTAATATAAATGTTCAGATATTACAGCATCCCTATCAGGTATTATTTTTTCCAACCATAAGTCTTAGTGTATTGAATTTTTTAAAAAAATCCTCACCCAGGGATATGTTTTTATTGATTTTGGAGAGGAAAGAAGAGAGAAACATCGATCAGTTGCCTCCCATATGAACCTGAAGCCTTTTGGTGTATAGGATGATGCTCCAGCCAACTGAGCCACACGGCCAGGGTATATTGGTTCTTTGATTGGAATAGTAGTGGTCTTTTCCTGCACCCAGCAAAAAATCTAGATTTGTTATAATGTAAAATCTTTTCATTTTAAAATTTTTACACAAGTGTATGAATGTTTGTTAGACTAGGAATCAAACAAGCTGTCTGCGGGCTATATCCAGGCTAATTTAAACTTTTTGGAATGATGATTTGGTCTGCACTATCAACTACCTTCACCCCATTCCTGGGAAGTGCTTGTTTTGATGAGGTTTATTGGGGCTTGGCAACAGGATACAAAAAGAAAAAAGCTCATTTCATTTTATAGGAGGAACCAAGGTATCCTCAAGCACGGAGGAAACGTTAACTGTTTATACCAAGTTGTACTATTTTATTGTCAGTTTTTCTTGCTGTCGATGTATGATTGCTTTGACCCGTAGTTGTCTTGGTGTAGTGGCATTCCCCTCTACTACCATTGTTCCCCACTTCCTGAGTGTCCTATAGACCTCCTTTTTGTCAGTGTATTTGGTGCATCTGTTTGTGTCAGGATACACAGATCTATCTCATCTAAAAGTAGAATAACCCACTTATGTTAATTCACACAGTGCATTGATTGTGGCACTTCTCAAAATTTTTCCTCAGGATACCGTTACACACTTAAAATTGAGGACCCCCAAAAGCTTTTGTTTATATATTTTGTATCTGTTGATATTTACCATATTAGAAATTAAAACTAAGACTTTCAAGGGCTTTTCTAAAAAATTTTAATGAAAAAGTGTCATTATTTTATATTTTTACAAATTTCTTTAATGCCTGGCTTAAATTTTTTGTGTGTGTGTATGTGTGTTTTATTTTTTTATATTTTTTTATAATATATTTTTTTATTAAATTATTTTTTTGTACATATACCAATGCCCCCACCCCTCTCGTACATACCCTCCCTCCCAGAGTTTTGTGTCCATTGGTTGTACTTATATGCATTAAATTTTTTTTTTTTATTAAAATATATTTTATTGATTTTACACAGAGAGGAATTGAGAGGGACAGAGAGTCAGAAACGTCAATGAAAGAGAAACACCGACCAGTTGCCTCTTGCACACCCCCTACTGGGGATGAGCCCGCAACCAACGTACATGCCCTTGACCGGAATCGAACCCGGGACCTTTTAGTCCGCAGGCCGACACTCTATCCACTGAGCCAAACCGGTCCCGGCTGCATTAAATTTTTTTAAAAGGAGGATTCTTCTCTGCATTTAGCCTGTTACAATATCACAGTATGGACACTAAGAAAAATAAGAATAGAAAATTCAAGTCACTTTTTAGTAATATGAATATAATTTTGATTTTCCAGACTCCTTAAGATCCCCACACTTTGAGGACATTTGGCATTGTTTCTAGTTTTTTTTATCATTGATGTCTTTTCTTCCTTTTTTCTTTCTTTTTTCCTTCTTTTTAGAGAGAAAGGGAGAGGGAAAGAGAGAGAAATATCAGTGATGAGAGAGGATCAAGGATCCGCCGCTCCTACATGTTCCCCACTGGAGATCAAGCCCACAACCAGGCACGTGCTCTGCCAGGAATTAAACTGTGACCTCCTGGTTCATGGGTTGATGCTCAACCACTGACCCACACCAGCCAGAGCAAAAGTTGTTAATTTTGTTCTTTTTTTTTTTCTTTTGGTTAGGTTGAGCTTTTGTGCAATTTCACTTTTAAAGAAGCTTTACTTACTTAGTTGCCTTAGTTCTATGACACTATACATCCTTGCTTGCATCTTCTGAAATGTTATAATCTAGATGGTTTAGTCATTCTGTATTTTTATGTTTTCTAGAGATGATTTTTTTTTTAGGACATGATATATTTCAAAATAGGTTTTTTGGGGATGTGTTTTCTTATATCATAGAAACCATGTTTTAAGTGTAATTATATGCCATGATTCATCTTTAAAAAGTAAGTTTGATCCATAATATACCTAACATACTCTGATTTCTTTGGGAAATAATAGAATACAATTTTTGTTCTGGTAGTTAAAACAGTACAAAATATTTACAAAGTTAGTTGAAGACTTTTGATAAGCGCCCTTTTCTCAACTGTCTAGTCACTCTTTGGGATGGGTAAAGCAGCTGTTAAGTGTAATATGAGAAGAAATGAAAGCTTTGGGTGAGAGACAGGTGCAGAGAAACCTGCTTCTTCTAGATTAGTGCATTGGGGATTAAACGAAATGGTTGATGAGAGGAAAGAAGTTTAGATTTAAAATTTGCTTTTTGTCACAAAGCATTAATCATTTTCTATATATCATGAGTCTTATGATATTGCTGATGGGAGAGTGGGGGAATCAGAGGTGTGCAGATTAGCTTAAAGTGAAAAATAAATTATTTGAAGATGGAGAAGTCTGATAATTCCTGTAATAAGACATTTCTTTAGCTGAAATTGTATGTGTATCAGATGTTCAAAAAAGAAAATATGTGTGTATGTAAGGAATATATAGTTTTGCTGCTTTGCAGTTACATAATGAAATATCTTTTCTTTTGTTTCCTAGGCTCTCTACTTTTAGAATCCAAAATAAATCCTAACACTGCATACCAGAAACAACAGGTAAAAATTTGAAGATGTTTTATTTTGCATATTATCCTCTCATATTATGGTGATTAAATGAAAATTTTCTCTGATTTCTTATAATGAAAAATTAAGAACAGATTACAACATACTTTGCCAGTCTAATTCTAAAATACAATTTCATCAATTTTTACCCATATGAAACAGTCATTGTAAATTTTAAAAAAAAACTTGATTTGTATTACGCCAAGTTTATGTTCCAGATAGTCTAGCAGCTGAGCTTTGATTCTCAAAAGTTAAAACAACTTAATTTTATTGTTTCTGCCTAAAGTGTAAAAAAAAAAAAAGTGGCAACTGATGTATCATGAGCCATTAACACAACTCCTTCACTGTTGTAGATGCTAGTGCAGAAGAAATATTTGTATCCCTCTACAGCAACTCAGTGTAGATAAGAATTTGATTTTTTGTTTTTAAATATTTATTGATTTGAGAATGAGGGAGAAAAAGAAACATTTGCTGTCCTGTTTAGTTAAGCATTCATTGGTTGATCTTGTATATGCCCTGGCCAGGGTTCAAACCTCTAACCTGGGCATGTTGGGACGATGCTCTAACTAAATGGGCTGAGATTCTGGTCAGGGCAAGAATCTGATTACTTAAATAGCTTGAAAAGGACCTTATACTGATGCTACAGTTTTTAAGGCAGCTTTCAATTTGAGTATATTCTTTCTTGTATCTTCCTGATATATAAGAGAGACCTGGATGTAAATCTTGCCCTTACTTAGTACTACTAGCACTATCGTCAAATGATCTCCTCCTCCTCCTATATAATAAAGAGGTAATATACAAATTAATCCTTGTGCCCTCACAAGGTGGCTGCCTATGACCACATTGGCAGGGGGTTTTAGTGAGGGACGACCAAACAACTGAACAACAGGCTGTGTGGGACAACCAGGCTGGCACGCAAAGGCAGTGCAGGGGGGTCTAGCTTGCGTGGGAGGGGGGAGGACAGTTAGGGGTGACCAGCGGTCCAGGATTGTGAGAGGGATGTCTGATTGCCTAAACCAGCAGTTGGACATCCCCAAGAGGTCCCAGATTAGAGAGGGTGCAGGCTGGGCTGAGGCGGCGCCCCCCCCCCCCCCCCCCCCCGCACAAATTTCATGTGCCAGGCTTCTAGTTTATTTAGAACTCGCACACACATTGCTCTACAAAGCCAGTGAAATCAGTATCAGTTTCCTCATTGCCCTGAAGGTGCAGAGATAAAATAATTTAAAATAAAGAATATTACCAACACAGTCATACATATGTTACTATATAAATATATGCATGTATCATTTTACAAACTATAAATGTTCTTTGCTTCATCACCAACACTAAAATACTACTAGGAGGAAATCAGTATTGTCTTTATTTTGCACATTAAGTGATGCCTAAAGATTGTGACTTGCTTGAAGACACACACAGAATACATAAGAAAGCTGATATTAACTCCTAAATTTATTGAAGGATGACTTATTTGTCCCAAAACACTGATACAATATGAATCATTTTTCTAGTAGTTTAATGGTCTTTGCTATAGTTGGTGTTCTTAAATAAACTTTAGGTTTTATTGGAATGGTTGGAAACTAGACTATTTAGGTTTGATGTTTTATACATAAATTCATGTTTTGAGGTGTTAGCTGAAATGTAAAAACATATCCTAAGAAAAAGGAAAGATTGAATCTGTCTTAACATATTACTGATTAGCAGGCAAGGTGATTTGATGAAAATTAGGCTCTTCAAGGAAAACAGAAGAGCAAGTTATAAAAATTTTCTAATTTCCAAATTGCCACATGGATAATTGCGAGGGCCTGATGTGGCAGGGATTTCCCTTTTCCATGTCCTGCAGGGAAAGAGATGAACAAACCAGTTCTAAGTGGAGGCTGCCAGGGATTGAGAAATATTAAGAAATAAAGAGAGAAATTTTTAAGCTGAGAGCTGGGTGGGCGCCATCCTGTCTGCTGGAGAGGCAGAAAGAAGATAACTATGACCCCTCCCAGGGCATTTATTTTATACCCCCAATACCAGGAAGTAACACCAACTTATTTGCATTCTTAAGTAGGCCCTATTACGCCTGGATTTACATATCTAGTCTCTCCTTTGCCTACACCTGGGCTGATATGAAGGCCAAGCTGACTACATGCCCGCCTTCTTAGGGAGACATGTTCCCAGGATGTGGCTCTGCCTACACCTTGAGTTCAGCTGCCAATAATTAAGGAAAATGCCCCTGTGCCTTCCCAGGCTGCCCTCTACAGATAATTAAGAGCAGATGTCTAGCTGCACTCTGATTGAAACCTCCCAATGATTCTGAACATACATTGTAGCAGAGCAGTTACTTACAGTTATATTAAATCTATCTTATATACTAACTAGAGGCCCCGGTATACACATACATGCACAGGTGGGGTCCAGCTGCCCTGCCCCAATGGGGCCCATTGGGCTGGGCCAGCAGCAGGGAGAGGCCATGGGAGGTTGCCTGGGTCGGTTCTGCCCCTAACCAGGGTATTGGGGGACCACTTGGGGGCTGGGCCAGGGCAGTGGCTGATCGGCCGGGATCAGGCCTATTGGCTGCCACAGTGTGTGTCATGGCCACTGGTGTCCCATCATTCCAGTCTTCAGTCGCTTTGTGTGCGTGCGTATGTTCTGTGCGTGCTATTACCACTTTTCATAATAATATGCATCAGTACTCAATTTAAAGTTGAAGAAAATAAGCTCGGGGAGATTATTTCTGGCATGTTTATTTCACAGTGTTCATGTAAATTATTTTTAACCTGAACAGCTACTCATCACTGTGGAACAGATTGTCTGGCTGGGATCTATGAACTCTAAAACTTCTTGAAGATAGTAAAGGGGCGAATTTGAGCTCTTAAAAATTCTGAATAAGATTATAGATTTCCACTACAGTCAAACCTCAGTTTTCAAACATTTCCCACCTTGAGCAATTCGGTTTTTAGCCAAGTTGTTCACAGAAAAAATCTTGGTTGTTGAACAAAATTTCGGTTCTCTATTCAACAACACAATCAGTCACGTGTCTTTCAGGAGTCAAAAAGAATGCAGGAGTATTAGTTGTTAACATCTCAAGAAATTGTGCCATGAATATTTTTGTGTGTGTGTGTTTTTTTGTTTTTTTTTTGTTTTGTTTTGCTTTTGTTGCTGATTATTAAATGCATACAATAAGTCATGGATCTGAAGAATCTTAGATTAGTAATAGGAGCATAGTGAAAAGGAAAGTTGTAAGAATGGATAGAGCTTAAGATTGTATGGTATATAAGAAAGGTTAAGATAGAATCATTTGGAGTGGATTTATTCAATTTATAGTATTTCTAATTGAGAAAAAGGATTCCGTTTTCAAGCAAATCCCTTCTTGAACTGCTTTTCAGACCAATTAAGTTCAAAAACTGAGGATCCACTGTATTAATAACACTGCACAGCCTGATCAAGGTACACTTTTGGCTAATATCACTTTAGTTCAGTGAGAGAGCATATTGGTCTTATGATGGACAGTTGTATACTTGACTGAACAGAAAATGCAAGTTTAGCAGACAAATTTTTAAACATGGGATCCCTTTATGTATAATAAGACGTGTCTTTGATAATGAGAAGTATTAGAAACTGGCACAATGTTAATATAATAGAAATCATTTAAGGTACCTTACAGATAATCTAATCATGTTTCCTCCTCAATACAGGAATTTGTAGTATCGTGGTCGGCTACCCTAATACCGTGGTTGGCAAACTGCAGCTCCCAAGCCACATATGGTTCTTTGGCCCCTTGATTGTGGCTCTTCCACTAAATACCATGGCCTGGACGAGTCTATTTTGAAGAAGTAGCGTTAGAAGTTTAAGTTTAAAAAATTTAGCTCTCAAAAGAAATTTTAATCGTGCTGTTGATATTTGGCTCTCTTGACTAATGAGTTTGCCAACCACTTTGCTAATAGATGCTTAGCCAGCTTCTGATTGGCTCTTTTCAGTTGGATTTAAATGTAACTCTCCCTATCATTTTATAGACTTCTCTCAGTTAGAGGACCCTTTTTTTTTTTTTAAATGGTTGATTGCTGTGAAACACTGGCATATTTATTTAGTCAGTAAGTTTGAAAAGATACCTAGACCCTGTAAATATTTTTATTATACTATGAACACACATTATTTTGTAATTTAGGGAATATAAAATGGTCTCTGTTTTAAGTGTAGTGTCTTGTTGAGATATCTTAGTAAAAACTTTATTAAATTTGCCATTAAAAAAAAAGTGGATAAGTGTAAAGAGATGGTAGGCTTGCTTCTTGAACCACAATACTGGTGCTTGTTTTAAAAAATCTGTCTAGATAAATACTCACATACTACACATTTAGCCAATACTTTATTGGCCCCAGGTAAAGGGCACTTGATGTTGACAACAGGAGGAAGAGCTAGTTCTATCAATCTCATTCTTATAAATATGCCCTAGTTATTAAATACTCAGACTTTTTTGAGCCTAAATTGTAACTGTGCAAGCATAGGATACAATGTTCACTTTGTATGTTTTAATACATTGATTGTATGCTCATTTTGTCGTGCTTTTCATATATTGGTTAAATTTCTAAAGGAAAACAGTTTTCATTTTATAGGTTAAAGTGAAGTGTAAAAGGCATAGTTAATTACTGATACCTGTGTTGCAAAAAGTAAAAATGAGTACTATTCTCAATTCTTCGTTATTTTCTTAATTTGCTTTATACTTTGAAGTAGCATGTGGTAATGTATGTTAATAATTCAGACTTCTATTTTTTGTTTTTCTTTTAAGGATACTTTGATTGTGTGGTCGGAAGCTGAAAATTATGATTTGGCCCTTAGCTTTCAAGAAAAGGCTGGATGTGATGAAATTTGGGAGAAAATATGTCAGGTAATTTTAAAAACTAGAAAACTAACATACTCTTAAGTATTTTGTGGGGGGGTTTTTTGCTAGGCTTTCAGCTAATGCCTAAGATTTTAAATAAATTCTATATACAAGCATTTCATATAGATCTTATATGTACTGCTTTCTGTAAACTTGAATTATAGAAAAGTTTAGTTTCTTGACATTAGACATCCAGCCCAGATCTTTGCTATATGCAAGAGTTTTCTTTTAATTTTTTTAATTTTATTTTATTATTTTACTAATTTGAGAGAGAAAAATTGATTTGTTGTTCTACTTACTTATGCATTCATTGGTTGATTCTGGTATGTGCCCTGACCAGGGATCGAACCCACACTCTTGGTGTATGCCAGAGCTAGATGCCAGTTTTCTATTCAGCTGCGTTTGAGAACGCACCCATTAGTGCTCATTTGCATCTCAGGTTTAATAATCCAAAACCAAACATAATCTCACTTAGATCTGTTCATTCTCCAATACCCCTCATCTCATATGAATGAGTAAATGCCATTTACTCGTATAAATGAGTAAATCCAGTTGCTGAAACCAGAAATTTGAGGGTTGTGTTTATCCTTCCTTCATCCCTTTTATTTATTCAGTTGCTCAATTCTAAATCTTAAATTCCTCACTTATCTTCATTTTCATTGTCACAGTTTACTAAGCCACTGTCATTTTGCTGATTTATTTGCTTTCATCTTAACTGGTCTTTTCAAATCTATAGCATAGCAATAGTGATCTTTTTTAAAAATGCATATCACTCTTTGTTCAGTAACCTTTATGGCTCTTCACTATTTCTTCATCTTCATCTTGTGTGTTCTAGTTGATTCTGAACTTTCTTGTGACTTTAGTACCTCAATCTATAATCTCCATAATCTTTCATGAATGCATTTTATGTGCTCAAATGGTTTATTGGCTCTTGTTATAGACTCATTTAGATCATTGAATCTTAAGGATAATTTCTCTATCTAAAATTTATTTTAGAGGGAAAATAATCTTTAGCAGGTTCTTTAATTCAGTAGTTGTCAAGGTTTAGTCCTCAGACCGGCAGCATGAGCATGGCTAATTTTAAAAATGTTTTTATTCATTTTTTGATAGGTTGGGAGAGGGAGAGAGATAGGAACATCAATGACGAAAGAATCATTGATTGGCTGTCTCCTGCATACTAGGATCGAGCTCACAACTTCCCCTACTGGGGATCGAGCTCGCAACCCAGGCCTGTGTCCTAACTGGAAATCGAACCAGTGACCACCTGATGCTCAATCCACTGAACCACACCGGCATGGTAGAGCATGGCTTTTATAAGAACTTTAGGTCAGATTTTCTCTGTAAAGGGCGAAAACTAAATATTTTAAACTTTCTAGGCCAAACACTTTAACAGATATTCAACTGTGCTGTTTTAGTGCAAAAATAGCCATAGATAACACTTAAATAAATGGGAGTGGTTCTCTTCATGTAAAATTTATTTACAGAAACAGGTGGTAGGCCAAGTTTAGCTATAGGTCATCAACCCTTGCTTTGGGCAATTCTTTTGCACCCTGAAATTTGAGAACCACTGCCTTAGTAGAAGCTGCAGTGTCCCTGATACACAGTTTTTCCTTAATTTATATAATTTATTTCTGCCATGTATTCTACTCATCTATGTTTTTCAGAAATTAACCTACCTGTCAAGCTGTCCTTTCTTTCTAAGTGACTAGCATCTAAATGTCTCCTTTGTTTTCTGTTCCTTACATTATTTTTATAGCATATTCCTCAAGATTTTGTCCATAGAGTTCTCTCAAAAAGAGATGAAATAAATGAGCTCGGGTATGCTAAAATTATTAGCACTCATTCAGACAAGCTTTGTTCTCCTTCATCTTTCTGAGTTGAGCAGTCAAACTCTGGGCATAATCTTCTATTAAGCCAATATTTAACTCAGACCTGCACTAAATCTATTTTCATGCCTGGCTATCCTTTAATATAATTGTCTGACTTTTTTTCATGCCTGGCTCTCCTTTAATATAATTACTGTACTTTTCCTTAGTCTGTATTACCATAAATTTTTAGTCATCTTCATTTGGGGCACAGCTAATAAAGTACTTGTATGCTTTCCTAGGAATCACTAGCTATTGTTCTTTTCTAATCTTCTCCAACTTTTATATAGTGTGTGTTCAGTATTTTCTTTCTCAGTCACTCTTTTATGATCCTGTTTATACTTTCATCATATTTCTGGATCCTGGCATATACTGGGGAACTCATACTTTGCTCTCATTTAAATCTTACGTTTCTCAAGTTCTCACCACTTTGATCTAGAAACATTTTCTAGTATACTCTTTAATAGCAGTTATGTCTGGTATATATGTTTTCTCTCTTTATATTTTTCATGACCTTCACATTCTTATTATCTTCATATTTATCCAGACTGACTTCTAAAATTTATACTTTCTCTTAATGAAAGCTCTTTACTAGCTTATTCCTTTTGTTTTCATTCTTCCATTGTTCTGAAAGTAAGACTGAAACATATTTGTCAAATTGTACAATTCCATCTTAATTTCCTGAGCAGATCAGATTCCAAGAGTATCTTAAGTACAGACCCTTTTAATTCGTTACCTTATCTGTTTTATTTCCAAATTAGCTCAAGAAGATAGCATTTTCATTACAATAAAGGCTCTTGTTCCTTTCCTTTTACTTTTTTTTTTTAATATAATGCTATCATTTTTAAAAATATATATTTTATTGATTTTTTTACAGAGAGGAGGAGAGAGGGATAGAGAGCTAGAAACGTCGATGAGAGAGAAACATCCACCATCTGCCTCTAGCACACCCCCTATCGGGGATGTGCCCGCAACCAATGTACATGCCCTTGACCGGAATCGAACCTGGGACCTTTCAGTCCGCAGACCGATGCTCTACTACTGAGCCAAACCGGTTTCGGCAATGCTACCATTTTTTAATAGGTAAAACCATTTTTTAATAGGTAAAACCATGGCTTGAAAATTAGGAATCTAAAGCTATAATGAGAACTTATGTAATTAACAAATCCAGAGCTAAACTTGAGATCATGCCAGGTACAAGCTATAAATGTGCCTAGCCTCCTGTGAGTGGTGCTGCCCACTGGGTTAAGGTCAAGATGATATCACTTTACAGCATAATTCAAGACATAGTCCAGGCCTCCTTCCCTTCCAATATTTGTCAACAATAGACCCCCCCCCCTTTTTTTTTTTTACATTTTTATTGATTTATTAAAAAGGGGTGGAAGGAGAGAGACAGATAGAGTTGATTTGTACTTTCACTTATTTGTGCATTTATTGATTGCTTGCATGTGTCCTGATCAGGGATTGAACCTGCAACCTTGATTTATCAGGATGACACTCTTAAGTTCTCTGACTAGGGTACTATTTTTTAACTATGCTTAGTTAGCAATTTAAGTTTCTTGGCCATTTCATGTAAGACCTAATTTTTCCATGCTTTCACTATTCACTTTGGCCTATTGGGCTGCTCTAGTGGTAGTTTTGCCAAGAAAACAAAATGGTTTTGTTACAATATATGTCTTTGACCTTTTGTAAAAATGTTCTTTTACCTTAAAATGTATTCAGCTGTAAAGACTTAAGTTATCTTTTTATAATTAAAGCCCCTACACTGACAAAGTTGGGGTTTTATGACAAAATTTAGGACTTCTGGAGGACCATGAAAGCTACAGGTTTGTGTATGTAGACAGGGAAACTCTTCTGTGGTTTGGTTACTTACCCTTTAGTAGATATTCTAGGGGATAACCAGTTGTGTGGTTCCATTTTTGTATGGGTACAGTTGTTTCCCACTTGGTTTTCTTAATCATATTTTTGGGCTACCAACCAATCAATGACCCACTTTGGTTCAAAGCTATTTGTATATGCCCTTTAGCCCTTGATTTCTATAATTGACATTATTTTCTATGTTGCTTACAATTATATATATTGTCTGAGGTCTCAGCTTTATGATATTAGTTTGAATTTAACTCAAAGTTTAACTTTGAGGAGTTTTGTGACTACCTCGAAGCACAGTTCTATGAATGTTCCTGAGACTTACCCTGGTCTGTCGGAAAAGAGGGCAATGGGTATAAGATGTGAGTTTGTGTTTCAGTATCAGGCCTCTACATTGAGGGTCTAACGGTAGGATCTACAGGGCACTCTTTGTTCACAGGTAGATTAGCATATCCTAGAATGTTTCTGTTACTGGTAAACCTTGCACTTATGAGGAAACTCATTCCATATTTTAAAATAGAAAGTATGTATTATTTGTAGAAATGTAACTTAGGAAAGTAGGCAGTTGGGTCAGGCTTGAAGGAGTCTTAAACTTTAAAATTATCGTTACAGTTTTCTTTTTCTTTTTTTTAATGTTTTTATTGATTCTAAGGGGGTGGGGAGAGGGAGAGATAGAAAGATTGATGAGAGAGAAGCATTGATTGGCTGCCTCCTGCATACACAGCTCTCCCCTGCCCCCCAAGTCAAGCTCACAACCCAGGTATGTGTCCTGACTGGGATTCGTACCGGTGACCTCCTGATTCATGGGTCAATGCTCAACCAGTGGGCCACACTGGCTGGGCTCATTATAGTTTTCTTAGAACATCTCTTGTATTTATGTAAGAATATCATTTTAGTTTGCTTGATTATATTGTCAGTTATCATAAATCTGATTTAATAGGTTCAAGGAAAGGACCCTTCAGTGGACATCACTCAGGACCTTGTAGATGAATCTGAAGAGGAGCGTTTCGATGATATGTCATCACCAGGTTTAGAATTGCCATCTTGTGAATTAAGTCGTCTTGAGGAAATTGCAGAACTTGTGGCATCATCTTTACCTTCCCCCCTGCGTCGTGAAAAACTTGCACTAGCACTGGAAAATGAGGGTTATATTAAAAAGCTCTTGGAGCTTTTTCATGTATGTGAGGATTTGGAAAATATTGAAGGACTGCACCACTTGTATGAAATTATCAAAGGCATTTTCCTCTTGAATCGAACTGCTCTTTTCGAAGTTATGTTCTCTGAGGAATGTATAATGGATGTTATTGGATGCTTAGAATATGATCCTGCTTTATCACAACCACGAAAACACAGGGAGTTTCTAACAAAAACAGCCAAGTTTAAAGAAGTGATTCCCATATCAGATCCTGAGCTGAAACAAAAAATTCATCAGACATACAGAGTCCAGTATATACAAGATATGGTTCTACCTACCCCTTCAGTCTTTGAAGAAAATATGTTATCAACACTTCACTCCTTCATCTTTTTCAATAAGGTAGAAATTGTTGGTATGTTGCAGGTGAGTTTGAACATTTTTTCCCCCCTACTTAATACCTATTGGATCATTTAAACTTTTGTCTTCAGCAGAAATAATTTCGTGTTCCTTTTAAATAAGTTTTCTTTTTACAGTATGCCCAGTCTCAAATCTGGTGTTTTAGGGTGCTTATATCGGAATGGTTTCGGCTGCAATTTTCTGGATTCTGCCCAAAAATACCATTCAAAATCTCTGTGAGTTGGCTAGTAGTCTGTATTTGTAACACTCCTGAAACAAAAAATCTTATATCCCATAACATGTGAATTGGTCTATTCTAACTGCATAGTGGGAAGGTTTATGAGTTGCATACTTCCCGTTTTTTGTTTCTTTGATGCCCATATTATAAGAATAACATATATTTTACTGAGATCTACAAACAAAATAATTATTTGAAACCTGAATTTGTTAAATAAAAAAGTAGGCAAATATCAGTAGAAGCTACTTGGTAGCATATGTTATAAATAAGGCAGCAAATTTAATTTCCACGAATGTATCTTCTTAGACAACTGCTGTGTTTTCAGTTTCTTTGGCCTTTGTCACCCTTTAAAAAAAAAGTCACTTCAAATAGAAGTCAATTTTACCAAAACTACTTTCCTGGAACTAGTAATTCCAGTTCATGTTGACTAATTTGACATGTTTTCCATTCATTTAAGATGGACACAAATAATATAGGCAATACAGACCAGCAAGTATACTAGTAATCTTCTATACAGTGTATTATAATTGACAATGGAGGAGGAAGAAAGGTTTTGGTACCAATTTCCATGTGTTTCTTGATATGAAATTTTTGCTAGCTACCTAGTAGAGCCTGTGTTCTGGTCCAGTTTTCATTCCTGGTTTCCTTGGATGGTACTGAGTGCTATGGGTCTTTTTCTTTAGCTCCACGTGGTTCTCATCTTGCTATGCAGTGATTTGTCACTTCTGTTTTTTCTTGGTCTTTATACCTATAAAATGCCAGTTATTAAGTATGAATAATTGCAGGTTGTTAATGCTTCTTTGAAGAAGGGAGAATTTTACAAATTTTTGACAAGGAGTGATAGAGGTATGATTTAAAGCAGGTTTTTAACCTACCTTAAGTACATAATCATATCTCTTACCATTAACTTCTCTACTTAACATTATTAAACATTCTTATTCTTTTTACTTCTATACCCCAAATGCAGCAGTTTAGAGAATCTTTTTTAATTATTTGATTGCCTTTTGGTGGAATACATTATATCTGGGATACATCTTGAAATTGGATGTCATTTTGGGTATGGCCTATTTGTATTATACTTTGTAGTAAAAGTAAAGGTGGGAGTAACCAAAGTGCTATATCCATCCCCAAGTAAGTGGTGAGGGGCAATCAGGCAGGTAGGCAGAGTGATTAGGGGTGATCAGGTAGGCAGACCAGCAGCTGGGGATTGCAAATGTGGTCCCTCACATTCCAAGTGGTTCAAGGTTCAGGGTTTGGGTTCTGGAGGAGGCCACACACAAATGAAAGAGACTAGATAAGAAAACATTAATTTGGCCGAGACTGGTTTGGCTCAATAGATAGAGCGTCGGCTTGGGGACTGAGGGGTCCCGGGTTCGATTCCGGTCAAGGGCATATCCCCAGTGGGGGGGGGGTGCAGGAGGCAGCTGATTGATGACTCTCTCTCATCAATGTTTCTAACTATCTCTCTCCCTTCCTCTCTGTACAAAATCAATAAAATATATTTTAAAAAAAAGAAAACATTAATTTGGAAATATTGGGGGCCAGGCAGGAGCCCCACTCAAGAGGAAGGACTCCACTTTGCTCTGGCCTTGTGATCCCTTTTATTCAGGTTTGGGATCCACCCATAGCCTTTAGGCAGGCAATTTCCAATAATAGCTTGATTTACATAAAGACTAAAAGGTGGAAGTTGCTTGCCAGAGCTTGAAGGTTAACCAGCCTTCCGGACTCCTTGTCCACCTCTTTCTGCTAGTGAAGGCTATGGACAGCTTCCACCAAAGGGTGATTGGGTAGGTAGGTGAGTGGTGAGGGGCGATCAGGTAGGCAGATGGCCCCTTGCAGGGCTGGCCCTGCCCCGTAGCAAAGAAAGCGGGGGAGGCCCAGGTCAGCTAAATTATTACCTGCAGAGGGAGGCCACTGGTGTTGGGGGGGAGGGAGGGACACGGGGAAGCAGTGCTGCACAGATGGCAGGCAGTGGCAGTGGCAGGGATGAGGCCAGCTGAAGGTAAGCCCTGATAGGCCCTGATCTCAGGCCAGTCCTAGGGACTCTACTCGAGGGGTCCCAGATTGTAAAAGGATGCAAGCCGGACTGAAAGGACCCCCACCTTCCGAGTGCACAAATTTTCATTCACAGGGGTGTGTGTGTGTGTGTGTGTGTGTGTGTGTGTGTGTGTGTGTGTTTAGACTTAGGCATGTCTGTGTGGCTGAAATAATGTTGAATTTACTTGTAGCCTAAGGTAGTATGGAATTAAAATAAAACAAAAATCTTTACAAAAATTAAACAGGCCATCAAGAATGCTCTACTATTTACTGTGCTTAGGCTTGGAATAAATTTCTCACTCTCTCAGTTATAAAATAAGGAGGCAAGATAATACCTGGGGTTCTTTCCAAGTTCTTACCCTATGAGAATGTATTTTGAATCCTTTTCAAAATTTAATGCATATTAAATTGTGTATATGTCTATCTTCAAATAATAGATGTTTCTTTAAAAGCTATTTAGCCTTTTAAAAAATTGTCTCATTTCTGTGTCTTTAAACATCAAGGAAGTTTTATTTTCATTTTAGTCTTTGAGCAGTTATAGAACCTTAATTTCTAAAGTTAAAATTATGAAACCTTAAAACCAGGGTGTATAAATATGGCCCATACCTGCTTTTGTAAATAAAGTTTTATTTGAACACAGCACAATCATTTACATACTGTGTATGGCTGCTTCCTAGTATCACAACAGAGTTCAGTAGTTGTGGTAGAGACCATGTGGCCTGAAAAGTATAAAATATTTAAAATGTGGCTCTTAAGCCCTAATTGGTTTGGCTCAGTGGAAAGAGGATTGGCCTGCGGACGATTTTGCATGTACCTTGGTTGCAGGAGCATCCCTAGTCTGGGGTTTGCAGGAGGCAATTGATTGATGTTTCTAATTCTATCCCTCTCCCTTCCTCTCTTTAAAAAAAAAAAAAAAAAAAAAAATTATAAATAAATAAAATGTGGCACTTAAATAGTCTTAGGAAATAAGAGTGCTGCCAAAATATAAAGAACAATCTGTATAAATCACCAATTTATCCTTTAATAGTTTGGTTTTCCTTTCTCTCTTAAAAAATAGCATCACCAATACCTTCTTTCCTTTTTGCAGTTATTACAACTTGTATCTTTTATTATAGCATCTTGAATTTTTATTTATTATGCTCTTACCATTAAGAAGAATAATTTATCCTTTGATTTCACAGGAAGATGAAAAATTTCTGACAGATTTATTTGCACAGCTAACAGATGAAGCAACAGATGAGGAAAAAAGACAGGAATTGGTAAGAACTTTGATAATATGGAGAACATGAAACTAAAACAACTGATCTTTTTTATTCACTGATCCTTTTTCCTAATTTCAGGTTAACTTTTTAAAAGAATTTTGTGCGTTTTCCCAAACGCTACAACCTCAAAACAGAGATGCTTTTTTCAAGACTTTGTCAAACATGGGCATATTACCAGCTTTAGAAGTCATCCTTGTAAGTCTGTTTCTCCTTATATTTAATTGCTATTATGGGTTTAATCTACGGAGATAATATATATGTAACATGCAAATATTTGGGTATAGCTAATATTTAATATTAGCTGTGTATTACACAGTATCCTATATAATAAAAGCCTAACATGCAAATTGTCCCCTCGGGTGGTGGTTGGACTGCTTGCTATGATGTGCGGTAACCACCAGGGGATGGCCTGAAACTTGGCAGGCATTGGCAACTCAGCTCTGGCAGCATGAGGAGCTGGGTGCCCATGAGGAGCCCACCCCGCACCTACGCAGCCTCTTCCGGGTGAGCCGAGCTGTAGCCACTGGGACCACAGCTGGTCGGGCTCCCCATGGATTTGCGCAGGAACTGGTCTTCAGAGCCAGATGGCTTCCATGCGATGCTCCTGGGCAGCCCAGAGGCCAACACTGCATCCTGACCGCAGCATCTGGCTGTGCTCACCGCATCTCCATGTGGGGACTCAGGCGCCTGTGACTCAGGCGGGCATGGAGGCCTAGGTGCTGCCCAGGGCCCAGAGGTCAGCTGGAACCTCCCTTCCATGCTGGATGCTCACACTTTGATCATAGCCAGGCCTAGGGACCACGGGCCTCTAGTTAAAGAGCTATAAAATTCTAGTATTAGAGTTCTTGCATAGTACTGAAAAGAAACCTCAGGAATTTTCCATCTGTATATTATAACCCTAAAATGCAAAACGACAGAATGGCAGAACAGCCTTTGTGATGTGCACTGACCACCACGGAGCAGACACTCAATGCAGGATCTGCCCTCTGGTGGTCAGTGTGCTCCTACGGGGGGCGCGCACTCAGCCAGAAGCTGGGCTCATGGCTGGTAAGTGCAATGCAGGCAGTGCAGGAGCCTCTCTCACCTCTGGCGCAACTCTTAGGACACCGTGAGGACCCCTCGGTGGACGTTCCCCAAGGGATCCCGGGCTCAGGGTACCCCCCTCCCCCTTTCTTTCCCCTCTTCCCCAGTGCCCAAATGTGTGTACTGGGCCTCTGTAATCTATAATAATAGAAGTAATATGCTAATTAGCTGGATGTTTTCCGGATGTCATTTGGATATTCTTCTTGACAAAGCCAGGGCAGGAGGGAAGCCAGCCAGGGTTCCGGATGCCTGTGGGTGGCCTGAGGGTAGCCTGCCCAAGTTCTGGGTGCCAGAGGGAAGCTGGTGCCAGCAGCTAGGGGAAAGAAGGCCAACTCTTGCATGAATTTTCGTGCATCAAGCCTCTAGTTTTTAATAATAATGTATTAACTTTGCAGCCTATTAGATGACATGTTAAAGTAGAAAAGTAAATAGGAATAAAAGAAAGTATAATTTGCCAAAACCGGTTTGGCAAACTATAGAGTGGATAGAGTGTCAGCCTGCTGACTGAAAGGTCCCAGGTTCGATTCCAGTCAAAGGCACATACCTTGGTTACAGGGACATCCCCAGTAGGGGCCGTGTTTTTAACTCTCTCTCTCTCTCCCTTCCTCTCTGTAAAAAATCAAAATATATATTTTTTAAAAGAATGTATAACTTTATCCATGGAAAAGGATTTTTATATGCAGCAGAATTTTCTTTACTTCTTTTTTATTACAATGTTTCCTTATAATTTGTTAGGTTTTGAATTTATGAAGCCATAAGTTCCATATTTTTATAATATAGGAGACATAAGTTCTTTTTATCTGCAGGGCATGGATGATACACAGGTGCGAAGTGCTGCTACTGATATATTCTCATACTTGGTTGAATATAATCCATCCATGGTACGAGAGTTTGTCATGCAGGAGGCACAACAGAATGATGATGTAAGTAAGAAGTTAACAGAGCAAAAAATAACCAACAAGGTAAATATTATTTGCACTAACAGTAACTGTTTTTATTTAAGATTTAAATAGTTAATGTTTGGGACAAGTGTAGTCATCATATCAAATGGCTATTCTTCCCCTAAATTGGCTATTGTCTCAGTTTTAAAGTGTGTCTTACAGCAGTTATTTAATGCTCAACTTAAATTTCTTTTTAAATTTTTTAGATTATTCTGAAGTTAACTTTCTGTAATATTTAAATCATTTAATCAATAAATTGTTTTCTGTATGTGGAATTAATAACTTTCCTAGGAAAACAGTGACTTTGCTAGGGATTGAGTCTCAAAATCAAGAATGAAGAAATGAAGCACAGTCCTTTGGAAAGTATTTAGGGTGCCTTACCTAACCATAGGGAACAAGCTGTTGTCTTGTTCATACACATACATATTTTAAGTGAGAGAATATATCCTGGTAATGCGAAGGGCACTCCAGCGTAAATGGTGTGTGGCATATGTGACAGCCCTAAATGTATGTGCTCTGTTCTGTTTTCAGATAAAGCAATGATTCTGATTCCCCCCACCTCCACCCTTCTTCCTTATAAAATCTTGAAAGTAATTTTTTTCTTAATAAACTAAGATGTTCTGCCTTCAACTTCTGAGGTTGGAATTGTGTGGATCTTTTATCATAGTTTTACAAAATGAGATGATCAACTTTTACTTTTAAAAAGATCCTAATTAATGTGTTGTGATGTCAAAATGAAATAGACTGTCTAATAACCTATATTTAGGGTGGTTGTTTTTTTTATTGTAATGTCAGGGTAGGTACAGAAAAGCTGTTTTTCTGTTTATCATGCTAGTGTATTGTTTATTGCTAATAGTAACCAATGCAGTTAAAGTTCATGAAAGTGTTTTGTACTGTTGAATATTACCATTTTCTTTTATAAAATAGACCTATCTTGAAAGCCAAAATATCTAGATTAAAATAAAGGCTATTCTTATTGGTCTTGTAACCCACTAGTTGAAGATACATTAATGTAGTTTACTCACATGCATTAGGTCTCTTAATCCCTAGTCTTAATAATCATCATTTCCATTTACTTTCTGCATGTTCTTTTTAGTCCTATCATTGTATATATAGGCAAGAGCAGGGATTTTCTCATTGAATCCTCAATTTTTATTTACTACTTATGCTAGGAACACCAGTCATAGTGACATTTGGAATCTATAGAATACATTTATTCTCCTGTGTTTTCCTCTAAATATTATAATCTTGTTTCCCCAATTTCAGACATTCAGGTACCAATTGACTTTTTTCTTAAAATGGAAAGTTTATATTGTTTTCATAAATGGAATATAGATATAGATATCATTTTGCATGAATAGAAGGAATCCCATAAAAATGCATTGAAAGTAGAACAATGTTATAAATTTTAGCTAAATATTCTTACTGTTAAAGTTATGAACCTAAGGCCCATTTGCCTTCTTTGGGAAGGATATTTTGTTATCAAGAAATGAAAAGATTATTAGCACCAAATTGAAACTTTGTTTTTGTTTTGATCAGAGGGATTTACGGATACTAGATAAAGAAAGAAACTTTAATTTTGGTAGTGTTTAGTGTAATGTGCCCGTGCCACATTTTAGGGAAACACTGCCATATACCTGTTAAGTTAGTCAATCATTTCATTTTGTTTGAGGTTAACAAGATTGCTAGAGCTAGCTATAATGCTGTAGTTTGTCATAGTATTTGCTTTTTCCATTCCCCCATAATAAATGATCCTTATTGTATTTTTCTCACCAGGATATTTTGCTCATCAACCTCATTATAGAACATATGATTTGTGATACAGACCCTGAACTTGGAGGAGCAGTCCAACTTATGGGCCTGCTTCGAACTTTAGTTGACCCAGAGAACATGTTAGCTACTTCCAATGTAAGCACAGCTGTTTTTCTGTTTATCATGCTAGTGTATTGTTTATTGCTAATAGTAACCAATGCAGTTAAAGTTCATGAAAGTGTTTTTGGTTCCTTAGAAAACAGAAAAGACTGAATTTCTGGGTTTCTTCTACAAACACTGTATGCATGTCCTCACTGCTCCTTTACTGGCAAATACAACAGAAGACAAACCTAGCAAAGGTAAGATAATGCAGATTGGTAGTTCTTGGTTTTTGAATTCTTAAACTCATGGTGTTAACATAGAGGTCTAATGTATTTTCAAAAGAGGTGTTCAAAGTAAAATTTCTTTAAATGTTATAGATAACATGTCAAAGACAATAAGATACTTGCTTTTGGGTTTTTAAATTTTATTTTAATGGGGGAGGGAGGGCGCGGGAGAGATTTATTGTTCCATTTATTGTTCAATGCCCTCATTGGTTGATTTTTGTCCACAATCAAGTCTGCAATCTTAATGTATTATATGACAATGCTCTAATCAACTCTAGCTATCTGGCCAGGGCGCCTTCATAATTTTAAAACAATTTTTTGTTAAAGCAATATTTGTTTTCAGTTTGCATTTACATAGGTGAAATAGATGAAAAAAGTCATTTTAAGTTATTTATACTCACCAGATGTGTAGTAGAGCGAAGCTTGTACTCAATTTGTTAAGCTATTTATATTTGCATTGAGGATGAATCCTATATAATCCTTTATAATAAGCTAATACGCAAATCAACCAGACAGCGGAACAACTGGGCGCTGTGATGCGAAATGACCACCAGGGGGCAGACACTCAACACAGGAGCTGCCCCTTGGTGGTCAGTGCACTCCCATAGGTGGAGCGCCACTGTGCTTAGAGGCCAGGCTCAAGGCTGGTGAGCACAGCAGCGGTGACAAGAGCTTCTCTCACCTCCACAGTTGCATTAAGGATGTCCAATTGATGGCTCCCCAGCGGGCCTAAACCATGAGTCAGACATCTCCCAAGGGCTCTCTGACTATGAGAGGTTGCAGGCCGGGTTGAGGGACTCTTCCTCCCCTCCCCCACCAAGTGCACAAATTTCATGCACTGGGCCTCTAGTCAAAACATGATGTTTATTCTGCATTTTATTCCTTTAGCTTTTATTCCTTTAGCTTTTAGCTTGTCTGTTTAATTTAGAAATAAGTTGTAGGTTCTGCCCTACCTGGTTTGGCTCAGTGGATAGAGCATCAGCCTGCAGACTGAAAGGTACCAAGTTTGATTCCAGCCAAGGGCATGTACCTTGATTGCTGGCACATCCCCTGTAGAGGTTGCGCAGGAGGCAGCTGATGGATGTTTCTCTTCTCATCGATGTTTCTAAAACTATGCCTCTCCCTTCCTCTCTGTAAAAAATCAATAAAATATATTTAAAAAAAAAAAAAAAGAAGTTGTAGATTCTTCATTGGGAAATTCCTTATTGAAGTTTTCAGAATAATTGTATTATTTTGTCATATTAATTATCAGTATAGAATATTTTAACTTACAGCACCAATTAGAAAATAAATGTTAAATTTACTTTAATGACTTTGGAATCAAGTCTTGGAAACAAGATACACTCATTTCTCCTACCTACTTTATTCCTACTAAGTAAAGTTTGAGACTTTTTTCCAGACCCACATGTTTAACTCATCAAGCATTTAAAGGTATGTGCTGAAATCTTTAGGGGCTTAATTGGGGAATTGAAAAAAAAAATAGTAAAATACTTCCAGAGGATTACTGCCTGGTGAGGAAGATAAGCCAATCATTGTAATTCAGTATGGATTCATTATGTATAATAAAGGAGGCGCAGAACACACTTGATTCATAGAAGCAGAGAGAGTAATTCCACCAAAGACTAGATGTGTCTGGCAGGACCTCCTATGCTATGCTGAGGGATGTGTTAAGATGTGGTAGAGCATTCTTGCACTTGGAATAAAGCAGATCTAGTAGATTTATATCCCATCTCTGCTTTACTAACTTTTCAGACTTGGGTCTTGTAAACCTAATTCCTCATGGTGTGATTTAAATTAACACCATGAGGAATTATGCCATCCTATGATCAGAAAAAATGTAAAGCATCATTCTTAGCACATGGAAGGCATTCAGTGAATTTTACTTTCTTTTTCCTTAACTTTAAAATATTTGGGTTAATGGAAGGAATTTTACTTGATTGGAATTTAGGTTCTTGTATTTGGGGAGAAAAAGAAAATTAGCCATTAAATATAAATTGTATTTTGTTTATTTTAGATGATTTTCAGACTGCCCAGTTGTTGGCACTTGTATTGGAATTGTTAACATTTTGTGTGGAGCACCATACCTATCACATAAAGAACTACATTATTAATAAGGACATCCTCCGGAGAGTGCTAGTGCTTATGGCCTCGAAGCACGCTTTCTTGGCATTATGTAAGTGTTGCTTCTGGTAGAATTACTTATCTGTATATTATCATATTGTTGGTATTTTTAGGTCTCATTGCCTAAGAAGAAATATTCACTGATTTCAAGTCAGGAGAGTTAATACTAAGTTACACTGTTTATGTTTTTGTGCCACATTCTGAGCAGCTGATTGTCCTTTCTTCTTTCTAGTTACTATCCAGCAAAGGGTTAAAGTGTATCTGTAAAGTATATTTCCATAAAGTGTTATAGTCCATCATTGAGATGGCACCTGAGATTATTTTACCTCAGTTACCATTCTTCAAACTTAGCATTGCATTGCTAATTACTAATTAGGCATTCTTCTTGTTATACTAGTCTCAAAATCATGAAGAAACTATTTTCATAATTTGGAAAATTTATACCTAATAGAACGGAGTTCTCAAAGCACATTCTTAAGTTACAAAATGCCTAGCACAGATGTATACAGATGGTCCATTTTTTAATTCCACAAATAATTTTTCTCCAGCTTTATTGCAATGTATTTGACATATAACATTGTGTTACCTCACATATGTTAGAGCAGGATGACAATTGTAGCAAAATCTGACCTGTGTTCTATTTCTGTGCAACTGGCAAACTGAAAAATGGTGTTTATGTTTTTAAAGGGTTGTTAAAAGATGAGAGGCCATATGACCATAAGTGGCTCACAAAGCCTAGACTATGTCCTGTGTACACCTTTATGGAATGGCTTGTTAACTCTTTAGAGCAACAGATGGTCTTTTAACAAGATTGTTTATGGTTACACCGTTCTCTAAAATTGACTTTCACTGTGTTCTTAAGACCCTACTTTAATGAAGTAAAAAACATTTTTTCTGTATTGAAAATAGGTTAATCCATTCTTGATCATATAGCAGCCAATCTTCTTTGGTTAAGTTGGTAGGCCAATTTCAGGGGTACCTAGTGACTCATTAAGAGACATCTGGTAACTTTGGTGTTTGTAGGTAAGTTTGTTGTTTTGTTGTTATTGTTAATGGCATCACAGTCATAGACCCTTTTTTGCTCTTTTTTTTTTTTTTTTTAACATCATTTAAAAAAAATTTTCCCTTGATTTTTAAAAAATTCCTTAAATTATAAAAACATTATATAAAGAATGCTTCTGGTGTTGATTTATTTTATCAACATTTTATCTTTTATCTATTCTGTATTAGAAATAGGTTTCCTTCTAAAAAAATTCATTAAACTTTCTATCAGGATAACAGTTGTTATACTTGCCAGTTTTTCAGGCCTGTGTACACATTGTAGTATATATTGAGAATACATCTGAACAGAGTATATTTTTTAATTTTCAGACATTTAGTACAGCTACTTTCTGCTAATTATCCAGAACCTTTGATATTACTTTAGTGATCATTTTTTCCAACCAGAAAATAGTATTGGTGGCATTAACCTAGACTGCTAAGGACAGTGAAAAAATAAATTCATTATTTTGGTTCTATTTTGCTTTTGCATATGTTTATGAGCTTATTAGCACATGTGAGAAAAGTGCTTTTAAATTAATGTGCATTTTCCTTGTATACCTATCACAGCAAAAGTGAGCCCCAAGACCCAAGTTGAGAGGGAGTTTATAATGAATGCTTTTTTGAATTATGTCCACCATAGAAGGTTTTGTTTGAATGTGGAAAAGGGAGTTTGTGAGCAGGTGGGATGGAATGGAACAACTGAATAAATAAGTTTACCAGTTTATTTTAATAAATTTAATAAATACTACCATAGTTCATTGATTCTAAGGCAGCGGTCGACAATCTTTCGGACCACACGGACCACCAGTGGTCTGCGGACCATTGGTTGGTGACCACTGCTCCAAAGGTTTTTTTAAACCAGCTGTCACCAACCTTTCAGACCTCAGACCACCAGTGGTCCACAGACCACCAGTTGGCGACCACTGTTCTAAGATAAATTTTTGTATGCATTTATCATTTCTCAAATTAAGGTAAGTCTTAACAGTTAATGGCATGATCTGTAGCTCTTTCTGTTTGTTCATTTATTTTCTTAGTAGTAGAAAAGATAAAGAGTTTTGCAATCAGTGGCATCTTCGATTTGAAGAAGTATGATATATACCTGGAACTGGGAAAATGAAGATGATTATAACCTGTATTCAGTTTATTAGGAGGAGATAGTCTATAAAAATCAAAACACATCATAAGCACTATATTGTGATGTGTTTAGTGGAAATGGTTTATTCTACATGAATAAGGCAGATCAGGGAAATTTTAAAGAGTTCAGTTGAGTTTCTATTAGTCATGGGGGGAGTGACATTCTTGTTTGAACATGCTGTTAACATGTGCAAATGTGGGAAAGTGTGGTGTGTGAGTGTTTTGGGATAGGTAGAACACAAGTCGCATAGAAGAATGGCAGGAAAGGTCTCTTCAGTTCTCCATCTCATTTGGTTTGCAGTATTGCAAAGAAAATGTCATAATTTAATGAGAACTATAAAGAGAATCATTACAAATTAGTGAAAGTTTATCTGTTAAGAAATGTAAGCATGCCAGATAAATCTTGGAATGTTTTATTATTAATATTTTCCAAATGAAGTTATCAAACCTAACCCTTCAAATTATTCTCAGTGTGGCTGTTTTCCCAGTACTGAGAATATAAGTAGCTTCTGAAAGAAGATGCCAGTCAGTAGAAATGAGCTCTTTAGGATTGACTTTGCATATATAGGAGTTTTTATCAAGGATTTCTAAAAGAGCTAAATAAAATTTGAGATGAGTTTTAGGTATTTGTCTTCTGAGAAAGGAGTACATTAAAATGCTAGGTATAGTTTGTAAGAGAGGGTTTTATAAGTAAATTTTGATGCATACCTGTAAGGACAAAATATAAATGAATGGCCGAAGCTGGTTTGGCTCAGTGGTAGAGCGTCGGTCTGCAGACTGAAGGGTCCCAGGTTCGATTGCGGTCAAGGGCATGTACATTGGTTGCGGGCACATCCCCGGTAGGGGGTGTGCAAGAGGCGGCTGGTCGATGTTTCTCATCGATGTTTCTAGCTCTCTATCTCCCTTCCTCCCTGTAAAAAAAATCAATAAAATACATTTAAAAAAAAAAAAAAATATATATATATATATATATATATATATATATATATATATATATATATATATAGATGGTTAAGTGTAAACAATTTGGAAACTTGGGGAACTTTCCATTTTTTTATATCTGCAGCTGCTTAATTAGTATACTTTTATCATATTTAAAGACAACTAATCAAGTCTGAAGCTGAGATCAGCAATACTTTCAAATATAGGTTAGAGATATGTACATATACACACACACACACTAACACACTTTAGTAATTGCAGTCTTAATTCTTTGCCTTTTCAGGATTCTTGGAATCTTACATTGTAGCTTTCTAGGTCATACTTTTATGTTGTGTGTATTTTTGTTGAAAATATGGAAATTTATAAGAGTAATGAGATAATTTTGTTGGAGGTGCTTTTATTCAGCTATCATTTAATTACACAGGAGGCATAAAGTCTCAAACTTATTACATGAAATCTCATGTTGTATAAGGTAAAGATGATTAAAACTAAGCACAAAAGATTTCTGGCCTGTTAATAATGAAGGCTAGAGGTGTGAGTGGAAGTAGAGTGCACTTTACATTGAAAATCCTATGGTTATGTCAATTTGACATGTCCCAAAAGCTTTCCCTAAAACCCCATTGAGCAACTTGACTTCTCAGAACTCACTGGTAAATTTTTTAAAGCAATTTTTATTTAACAGCAAAAAATAGTGGTTGGATATTTTTGGTGCAGGTTTCTTTTTGGGGAAAGGTTTGAGTGGAAACAATACAGATTTTGATAAAAATAAATGAGGGAAAATGGAAATGAGCAAAACAAAAAGACCATTAGTACTATCTTCTATATGTGCTATCTGCAGACCCTTAGTCTTAGTGAATTCTAGGAAGGGAGCTGCTTGTCACTAACCTAGGAACTGCATGCAGACCACAAGGTTCAGCTAGTGTGTGTTATGGTAGGACACAAGTCTCCACAAGGCCTGCAAAATTGGAGTACCAATTCTTAGTAGCTCTTGCCTCAATTACTGAAAGCTTAAAATTTGGCCTTAGTAGCATGAGCTCTAAAGTATTGATTTTTATTCTCACATATGGAACTGCCTTACTAAGTTCATTTGTCTAGTAATATTAAAAGAAAAACCAAACTCTAAAACCATTGTTTTGGGAAAATAAACCCTTGTTCTGGTTTGACTTAAAACACAGAAAGATGCCTCTTATTGTATAAAATGTCTTATTTCACCATGCTTATGTATTTGAAAATATTCATTAGTTTAAAAAATAAAATGCAATTGCTATTATATAAACTACTTTGAAATTCCCTGCCCAGAGTGTCTCTTTAGAAAGAAACACTCTTAAAGTTGGATTGTTAAGGCAGTTTATAATCAACTGTACCTGATTGGGCATTCACTTGTGCACCTCTTTTCTGCCAACGAAAGAAAAATTGAGCTGCTTTACTCCTCTGCCTTCCCACCCAGAAACCGTGTCAGCATGGTTGCCTGGCTACCTGCTCATGAAGGACTTGATTAATAACAAATTGGCAATTTAACGAGCCACTTCCATGATCTCCAAAGAAACCAAAATACAAACACAATATTTAATCTTGCCAACCGAAGACGATGTGACTGCATGAAGTGAGTATGCTTTTTTGAACTGTTTACAATAACTGGGGCATTAACTTACTGATAATTCCATCTAGGTAAAGAGGGCTTTGTTGAAGTCTAGCTGTCTGCGTATATTTGGATCTTGACGAATGGTGACTTAACTCCCCATACCTCAAGATGTAAATATACCTTTTAATCTGTAAGTTAAAGCCTAATTAATTGTAAAAAAGGAAAACTATGAAAAAATTTAAAAAGCATACTCGCTGTAATAAGCATAGAGGACCACATTTTAAAAACAACATCCTCTAAATTCTAAAATATAGGAAGGCAAATTTTGGGTCATGCAGATTTTTGTGGTATTATAGCATTTCTACAAGCACGCCCACAAATAAACCAATGCAACCATCTATTCTGATGCAAAATAATAAAGTGTTCAAAAATAATGGTCAAATTATACCAGTGGATTGCCCTAATAAAACAATGGTTTTTCTGTTGTTTTTGACGATGTATATAAAAGGATATATTTAGATTCTCATCTTAATGATAGGTTAATTCATTCATTAGCTCTATCTTATCTCCTGTGTCAGGTGTAAAGTACATTTTAGTCATTAGTAACTTCCAGAATTTTTCTGGCTCTCTAAGACTTGTGTTCTATGATGACACACACTACTCTTAGAATACATTTTTCTGATAACCCTTTTATAATCCTTATCTTTAGGTTCTGGAAGCAGTATCATCACTGCACGAAGAATTATATTTGTTAGACAGTTGTTTTTGTAAGTCTAAAATACGGAAGTGTGGTATATAATTTGAATAATGCCTCTTCATTTCAGGTGCTCTTCGTTTTAAGAGAAAGATTATTGGATTAAAAGATGAGTTTTACAACCGCTACATAATGAAAAGTTTTTTGTTTGAACCAGTAGTCAAAGCATTTCTCAACAATGGATCTCGCTACAATCTGATGAACTCTGCGATAATAGAGATGTTTGAATTTATTAGAGTGGTAGGTTCTCTACTTTTTAAGTTAGGTTTTGGTTTTAATTATTCAGGAACTTTAATCTGCATTATTGGTACTTTGGCTTGAGATAATTATATTTGAAGGTAATTTTTAAAAAGAAAACGTGTGTTACCAAAAGCTTGTGAGAGATTCAATTTAAACTAATAAAAACCAAAATAATCTCTCCCCACAGCTATGATTCCTTTTTGTAGGATAGTTTGAAAACTGCTTTAATACTGTCACGGAAATCATTTTAAGAGAGTAACATTACAGTTGATTATTATTTGGTTGTGTTTTTGTTAAACTTTCTCCCACATATATCTTTTATTTTTTTCCTAAACTTTTGTCTATTTTAATATGTTTTTATTGATTTTGGAGCGAGAGAGGAATGGAAAGGAAGAGAAATATCAATTGGCTGCCTCCTGCTTGGCCCCTCCCTACTGGGGACCAAGGCCGCAACCTGGGCATGTACCCTGACCAAGAATTGAACTGGCAACCTTTTGGTGCATGGGACAACTCTCAGCCAACTGAGCCACACTGGCCAGGGCTCTCCCATATATTTCTAAAGAGTAATTTCATAATAAACTCTACTTCATTCTTTAATAATATATTAGGTTAGTGCTTCTCAACTATTGGTGTGTGTTACAGAGTTATCTGTGGATGCTTTTTAAAAAATTATGGTAAATTATATATAATATAAAATTTGCCATTTTAACCATTTCTAAGTATATAATTCAGTGGCTTTAAGTGTGTTCACATTGTTGTGCAACCATTACCACCATCCACCTCCAGCACTTGAGTATGATTTAAAATACGCCCAGATCCTACCCCAAATACACTGAATAGGAATCATCTAGGATGGTACCTGGGCATTTATTTTGGAAAGACCCACAGATAATGCTGAGGTACACCAAAAATTGGGGACTACTTAAGTACCCAATATGGTATGCCCATTTTCATTCTTTGTTGATCTCTAAAGTAGTATAATAATTTAATGAAGTTAAACTATTTTGGGTAGGTTTGTCAGTTCAGGACAAGGAAGTCATGTCTTCCTAAAATAGCATTTCATCTCATTTTTTCTTTTTTTTTATAGGAAGATATAAAATCATTGACTGCTCATGTCATTGAAAATTACTGGAAAGCACTGGAAGATGTAGATTATGTACAAACATTTAAAGGATTAAAGTTGAGATTTGAACAACAAAGAGAAAGGCAAGATAATCCCAAACTTGACAGGTAAGTTACCTCATATTTGAACCTTTTCATTCAGTGACAAGTTGTAGGGCAATGGCTCTTATTTTGCTTGTGTTTTGCTCTTTGGTTTGGAAATGGGGGGGGGGGGGGGGGGAACAGCAGCTAGTGACCACAGTGATAGTGTTCTATGTAATGGTCAGTGTGTTTTCCTGAAGGGGGTGTAGGTGGATTTGATCTGTGGGCTCTTCCTCAAGCTTATATCAAGCTAGAAAATGAAAAAGAAAAGAATGCTACTAATGTAGCATTGAGGTTTTATGTCTCCAGACAAACCAAAATATTATTTTACTTGCTTTGAATTACTTTATTTTTTAAATATATTTTTATTGATTTTGTACAGAGAGGAAGGGAGAGAGACAGTTAGAAACATCGATGAGAGAGAATCATCGATCAGCTGCCTCTTGCACACCCCCTACTGGGGATATGCCCGCAACCGAGGTACATGCCTTTGACCGGAATCGAACCCGGGACCCTTCAGTCCCCAAGCTGACGCTCTATCCATTGAGCCAAACCGGTCTTGACTGCTTTGAATTACTTTAAAGTTACAAATTATTTTAAGAAATTTTGTACCTTATCCTAAATACCTGAATTCACATACTTAATGCTGTATTTTAAAATAATAAATTATAGCTTAATTCCTAATGTTATGTTTAATAGCTGATCTGTAATAATATAATTTTGATAATAGGAAGTTTGATTCCACTAGATAATACTAGATATGGTAGTGTGTTTTTAAATTACATGTTGGGTGAAATCTGTTTTCGTCAGTCTTGATCATATAAATCTGTTTTATCCCATTATCTATTAACACTATATCTAATTCAGAATAATACTTGAAGAATATCTAGTGAAGTTTTTATCAGTCTGTTTACTCTATTTTCTCTTTACTCATAGTATGCGATCCATTCTGAGGAATCATAGATATCGAAGAGATGCCAGAACACTCGAAGATGAAGAGGAGATGTGGTTCAACACAGATGAAGATGATATGGAAGATGGAGAAGCTGTAGTGTCGCCATCTGACAAAGCTAAAAATGATGATGATATTATGGATCCAATAAGTAAATTCATGGAAAGGAAGAAATGTATGTTGAAAAGATGAACAAGGAGATATGAAGTCTTTCTCACCCTAAGTTTATTCTTATTTTGTGACACTATGATTAGTATCTGATTTGTGTGTATGGCAATATAGATTCTGAAGATGTTGCTTATAAGAGTGAATTGATAGCTCTGTTGTGAAAGCATAAACTAAATTTTCTTAATTTTAAGTAAGGAGAAAATATTTCAGAAAGGGTAGAAACACTGAAAATGATACTGAAGGTTTCACTCCTTCTCAGTAATAAAAATTCAATGGTAATGATGTTTAGTATTTTGCTAAATAAGTTTTGTTCAGAGATTGATCTTCAGTGTTTCTCCCTAGCAGAGGAGTAAACTATTTTAGTGAATCCTCATTTGGGAGATTTTTAAAGATGAGTATGTTTGACAACTATTGACAACATTCTTATTTTTAGTAAAAGAAAGTGAGGAAAAGGAGGTACTTCTGAAAACCAATCTTTCCGGCCGGCAGAGCCCAAGTTTCAAGCTTTCCCTCTCGAGTGGGACAAAGACTAACCTCACCAGCCAGTCACCTGCAGCAAACCTGCCTGGATCCCCAGGGTCGCCTGGATCCCCAGGGTCTCCAGGATCTCCTGGATCTGTCTCTAAAAATACGTCTCAGACGGCAGCTATTACTACCAAGGTACACTTTTGACTCCCAGGCCTATCTAATTTAAGCTTTCTCAACAGTAATTTTTGTGACAGTTGCTTACTTTTGGAACTGATTTAAATTTGTGAACTAGAGAATCATTCTCCTATCATCACTTGAACTTACCTAAGGTTGAGAATTTTCTGAACTTTTTTTTTTTTTTTTTTTTTTTTTGTAACCAATACAGGAGTCTGAATATATACTAATTTTGGTAATTTGCAGTTTAGAACCTCAGGTTCAGATTTGTATGTGTCAAAACATTTACAGATATTTAAAAGTTTTAGGTTATTTTTTTATTTTTAAATTATAGATATTTTATTGATTTCAGAGACAAATGGAGAGGGAGAGAGAGATAGGAACAATGATTAGAGAGAGTCATTGATCAGGTGCCTCCTGCACACCTCACACTGGGGATTGAGCCCAAAATCCAGTCATGTGCTCTGACAGGAATCAAACCCTGAACTCCTGGTTTTTAGGTCGACTTTCAACTACTAAGCCATGCGGGCTGGGTTAAGTTACTTTTTTTTTTTTAATATCAACTTTCCCAATTAATACCAAGATAAAGACTTTGTGGGGAAAAGATAATCTAAATATCTAGACACTTCTAACTTTATTTTGTCAAGCAAAGTTAATAAAAAGGAGTAAACCATTTATTAGTAACATTTCATTTTTTAAAAAGGATCAAAATTTTAACACCAAAAATGTAGGAAAGACAGATTCTTACAATGAACATCAATTCTTTTGGCTGCTTTATGCTGCTCTGGATTAGTATAACAGACTGGCAGGGATTCATTGATCTAAATCAGAAATATAATGCCCATCAACACATGATCATCCCCCTTATATGAGCAGGAGATCCCTAAGGGCTAAAAGTGAATGTGAGATGAAGGGATAGGCTCCAGGCAAGAACTGTTGGAATCTCAACCACCCATCCTCTACCTAAATAAGTGAGCTACAGTGGTTTCTGGTAAGCAGGACTCTGTTAAGTTCAGATGAAATGATGGGGAGGGGACAGAGCTGAATCGCTTTCCTAATGTTTGATAGTCTGAACATCATTTCCAGTGGTCTGTTTAATTTTGTTGATTATTTTGATATACTATATAAACTTGGCTTAAAAAACTGTAGTGCATTGTTAACATTAACATTTTAAATTTAGTCATTATTGTTTTTATCTCCTGGGTGTTTTACTAGGATTAAAAACTACTAAAAATGTTATGTTTTACTCTGGAAAATTTAGGAAATATTTAAAAATAATGAATTTTCAGTTATATATAATCTCACTACCCAGAAATACCATGGTTGTATATTGAGATGGGGGTGGGTTTCTATGTTCTTTATCTTTAGATATTGAAAGTGTGTGTGTGTATGTGTGTGGTTTTTTTTTGTTTGTTTGTTTGTTTTTAATAATCCTTGTTTTTGAACAGGGCGGCCTCGTGGGTCTGGTAGATTATCCTGATGATGATGAGGATGATGATGAGGATGAAGACAAGGAAGACATGCTACCATTGTCAAAGAAAGCAAAGTTTGAGTCATAATGACAACTGCCTACAATCAGTACCTGTTGAAAAAAACTGGTCTTCTACCCCTCTCCCCTACAAAATTCACAACAAAGCAGTGGTCTCTTGTGAATGACTGCCAGATCAGCCTCGCACACTTGACCTCTGCTCATCAAGTGCCAACTCAATGGAGCAGAAGGAGGGGATATTACACACTAGGGGAAAGACGCAAGCCTTGAGCTCTCCAGCTTGGACCACACATTGCCCTTTTCTCAGGGAAGGAAATGGAAACATAAAGCCAACAGGGCAGGGGTTTTGTAAGTGGAATTCTGGATTGACTGGTCAGTTGCTACAATCAGAATATGCTTTGTCGGACCATGTTTGGGACTCGGAAGAATAGGCTTTTCAGCCATAATTCTTCACTAGTTAAGAATGCCAGCAGTTTCTTTGTATAAAGAGACCTGCCTTTAAAACCATACATTCTGAACATTTTAGTCAAGCTACAACAGGTTTGGAAAACCTATGGGGGAGGGGCGAATATAAAATTTCCTCTTTTTTATCTGTTCCCTTTGCCCTTCGAACTGCAGATTTTTTTAAAAGTGGGGATTTGTCTCTACTTGATTAAAGATTGAGTGGAATTCTAGATGTGGTCATTTGTGTCATAATTTTTTTGTTTTATTTTGGTTTTGATTTTTTGCTCCCCTGAGTGTATGCTTAGTTGAATATATATATTTGGGACCATTAAAACTTTTTTTATGTAATATAACCTAACGTTGTGCTGGTACCTGTTTTACCATGTGTAATTTTTGTTCTACATCACAGTTCTTAATTTGTTTAGAGTTTTATGAAAGATGGTATAGTTTTTATTGACAAAAGCAAAGTAATCTTACAACTATGTGCATACAAAAGCAATACTATTTTGTGACTAAATATTTTATATTAAAATTTACATCAGCAACTGTCTTGAGAATTCAGGGAAATAGAGTGGAATTTAAACTTTCAACAGTTTTGTTAAACCTAGAACAGTGACATTAGTATTCCAAAGAGATTCTGAAACTTCATATCTTGGGAAAATGACGGTACATTAAATAAAAATTGAGGATGGATGATTTAAAAATTAACATTTGACTTTTGAATAATAAAAAGAAAAGTGAAGAGTAATAGAAATTGTATTAGTTGTATGTTTCTTTTCTTTTTTTTTAAACTACTCCCTTTGGAATACCAGTTGGAGTTGGTAGTGGTGGTTCCTATATTAATACCTGGCCAGAGGACCATCAGCTGTAGTGCCTTTTAAAACAGTTTTTTTAAATAGGTTCTTTTTATTGTCTTAGGTGTGCTAAAGTGAAAATAAATGTCTCAATTCCACATACTCTCACTTTAAGTGAAGATTTTAGAACTTACTGAAGAATATATTTGCAAATGTGAGTAAAAATTCATATCCAGGAAAGGATACTGTTTTAATTAAGCACTGTGTGCTTCTAAGCTTTTTTTTTGCTTTGGTCTTTAGTAAATTCTAATTTGTGGTACCAAAAATAAGGTTATATTGAATAGCTGAGTGGAAAGCCAGAAAGCAAAATATGCTGCACTCATGAGGAGAGTTTTGTTTTTAGCTAATTGAAAATTTGAGAGTATAATTAAATAGAAGAGTTTAAGTATATTTCACTACAGTATAGGGTTACTTCTGAGTCATAAGTTCTTGCTATTAATAATTGAAGTTATATCCACTTAGCTTGCAAATAAAGACAAGAAAAACCTAATAGGATCTAAGTTAATTATATTATGTACCATGGGAAATTAAAGTACCATGTGAAAAGTTTATGCTTTAAGCATACAGCTTATTTATTTGTTTGTTTAAGAACTTAGCTTTCATTTTCTGGTAATTTTTTTTGTTTGTTTTTTTATGACAACATATTGAATGCTGCAATAGCATATTGGGTCTGGTGGCATCATGTAAGTTTGTAAAAACTCCAGGCAGGATGTCTTTCTGGAACACAAATTGAGTTAACTTTGCATCTGTTTTGTTAATTCTCAACCCAGGCTACTTTTTCCTATTGATTTTTAGAGAGAGTGGAAGGGAGGTGGGGTGGAAATTGGTTGTGCCCTGTCTGGGGCCAGGATCTAACCTGCAACCAAGGTAAGTGTCCTTGACTAAGAATTGAACCCAAGACCCTTCACTGCTCAGGTCAACACTCTAATCACTGAGAAACACCTGCCAAGGCTAAAGATACAGTTTAAACACACCTTTCTGACTCCTGGAATACTTACTTGCCTTTGTATTCTGAACATTCTTAGGTAGAGCATTCTTGGTTTTGCCTTCATCAATTATGGTGTATACTAAATTTCTTAAAAAGATCCTATTGGCCTTGGACATTTAAGAGATGCCCTTTAATTGATGGATTGTTGTTTTCTTTAGTGATGATGGTTACTGAAGCAGAAACTTAACACAAGTTGCTATAATACGGAAAATGAAGTCTAAAATAGCTTGTTATTTCATTTAGGAAGACTTAGCAATAAATTAGCAAAAAGACTATTAGCTAGAAATAACATTTGAATTGCCACAGTTCCATCTGACTCAAAAGTCCATGCTCTTAAGCATAGATAATGTCTTGGTAATTGATATAAATATAATGATGTGAATAGATTATTTTCCATTTTAGTGATACTGGTTCTTCTGTTCATTTGTAATGCTTAAAAAAAAAAAAAAAAAAAAAACTCAGAGTGATTACCAAACGATTTCTGAAAAGGACGTAATTGCTGCAGGAAACACCTTGACATCCTGAGCTGTCCAGAAATGCTACCCGGGCATTTTAATTTTTTTTTTTTACAGGATGAAGCCTGATGGTTTTTCCCTGCCTGATTGTATTCAGATCCTGCTCTTTGTCCTCAGGAATTTCAATTTGCAAGTCAATTTTTGTGAATTTGGAAATGGAGAGGCATAGAGCAGGGGGAAATATTCTTCCTGGTTCTGTTCTTAATTTAAGCAACAGTCTCTACTTAGAACAGCAAGTTTAAACTGGACGATTTCTTAAAGTAGAAAACTTTTCAAATGGTCTATAATTTCTAATATTTACCATAAAAAACTTTGTTTAGAACTTTGGAAGGAAGCAGGACCATCAAAATCTCATATATACCCAGCCTGTGTTCCTCAGTGGTTGAGCATAGGCCCAGGGACCAAAAGGTTGCTGGTTTGATTCCCAATCAGGGCGCATGCCTGGGTTGCAGGCTCAGTCGCCAGTAGAGGTGTGTGTAGGAAGCAGCCAATTGCATATGTTCCTCTCTCAGTGTTTCTCCTCCCTTCCTCTGTCTCTAAAAATAAAATTATAAAGCATTAAAAAATTCTTACAAGGTTACATTAACTTTGTCATAACATTTGGAACAAGAGGATTATTAAAAAGGTTTAAGGGATGGGTTATTGTCTACCATTATACTGAAACATTGAGATGCATAAGGCAATGGGGCAGTCATCTGCATGGGTGATACCCAATGCTAAATCATTTTGATTTTTCTCTGCTTGGCCTTAATGCTTCTTGGCTCTTCATAATGAAACTGTTAGCCTTTCTTCAGAGATAAATATCTTAACTACTGGAGTCAGATGTCTTGTTCCCTAAAATAGCACTGATTGGAGACAACTTGACTTTTTGCTCTTCTAGGTGTTATTCCATGGGCTCAGTGAATAGTGATTTCTTCAACGTGATGCTAAATGGGTTTTGTTTTGCTTATTCCTATTCCCACCACCCAAAAAACTGCCTGGTGTAGGTCACACCCTACCTGCCAACTCAGTGGACACCTTTCCATCCTTACTATTACTTGATACTTCTGCAGCATTTACTATCTCCTTGATCTCTTTCTCTTGACTTCTATTGTACCATCTGCTTTAACATTCATGACTTTTATGTCTTTTCATGGCTTCTTTTTTCCCTTAAATGCTAGGATTGCACCTTGGGTACCAATCTTCCCAATCACTAGCCAGGCCACATTGCTTGTATATCCCTAACCTAAGCCCCAAAAGACTAACTGAACTTGTGTGCCCCGCTCAATGCTCTCCCTGCCTTACCTGCTGATGAAGTCCTATTCACCTCCCAATGTTCAGAGATGTTCCTTAAAGGAAGGGTATGTTACAGCCTTTCAACTATGTATTCCTAGTACCTAGTATGAGACAAGCCCACAAATGGGTCTCCAAATGTTCACTGGATGAATGGTCAAAGAGTAAAAAAAAAAAAAAAAAAGACTGAGTAACATGCACACAATATACAGACTGGGAAAGTCTTAGCTGATGCCCTAGCACAAAGTTAATGATTAAGACCTGGCCCAATGGCTCAGTTGGTTGGAGCATCATCCCGTACACCAGAAAGTGGTTTCAATTCCCAATCAGGGCACATACCTAGGTTGTGTGTTTGATCCCAGGTTGGGGCGCATGTGGGAGGCAACCAATAGATGTCTCTCACATTAGTATTTCTCCCTTTTCTGAAATCAATGTATATCCTCAGGTGAAAAATTAAAATTTACTTAAAAAGTGATTCATATTTTAATTGGATTTATGGAGTGATAACTGGTCAACAAAACACAGATTTAAGGTGCACAGTTCTACCACACATCCATCTATAACACTGTATTCCACCCCTAGCTGATTGATTCTTGACCACAAAGTTCCCTCTGGTGGATATAAAGGGAGGACTTGAGATTTCTGTCCTTTGTACCACCGTGTTTTAAGGTAATAGCATGAACAGAGGTTATTTTGGGTTCAGGAAATTACTTTGACTCATTTCAACAACTGCCTTACTTAAGCCTTCCTGTTCTATTTGTCCTTGGCTACAGCACCTCTTAGACCTCTGGTCATAGGTCTTATAGATAAGTACAGACCCTTTCATCACTGGACCTAGCCATGAGCTATCGGTTTCACAGACCACTTATCTTTGGTCTGCTGTTTACAAATCTCATGCTCTTAAATGTTAAATGTTACAACATAGATGAACCTTGAGGACATTGGGTTAAATTAAGTAAGCCATTCATAAAAAGATAAATACTGCATGTTACCACTCACATGAGGTATTATGGAATAGTCAAAATTATAAAGACAAAGTAGAACTGAGGGGGGGAACTGTTTGCCAGGGGCTGGAGAATGGGAGTTACTGTTTAATAGGTATAGAGTTCGATTTACTCAATGAAAACATGGGGATGATAACTGCACAATGTGAATGTATTTAATATAAATGAACCTCAAAATGGCTATAATGGTAAATTTTATGTGTATTTTAACAAAATTATAAAAATAATATATGCTCATTATAACAAAAAATACAAGGACACATTAATATTCATCTCTCCCTCAACTTGTACAAATAATTTAAGCTCCTATCACATAACAGAGATGCCATTAGCTTACACTGCTAAGCCAACATTTTTTGAGAGGGGTAAAAATTCCTTTATCAGAATGAAGATTAAAATTACAATACTGGCCAGGACCGGTTTGGCTCAGTGGATAGAGCGTCGGCCTGCGGACTGAAAGATCCCAGGTTCGATTCCGGACAGGGGCATGTACATTGGTTGCGGGCACATCCCCAGTGGGGGTGTGCAAGAGGCAGCTGATAGATGATTCTCATCGATCTTTCTGGCTCTCTATCCCTCTCTCTTCCTCTCTGTGAAAAATCAATAAAATATATTTTTTTAAAATTACAATACTGCTTCTGTTTAGGAAGCAACGTATAAAGCAGAGAAATTTTATGTAAAGGTGGACAGAGTAGGCGGGATGGAGGGCCACTGCTTAGTGATTAGTATATGATCTGTGTGTGTGTTCCCTAAAGCGTATGCCCCAACTGGATAGAGACTTAGGGGGAAATAATTCTTATTAAAGTAGTGGTAGAAGAGGGAGAAGGTGAGAAAGATGATTATAAACCCTTTTACATGCATCACTTTCAACCTCAAAATTATAGTCATAGGGAAAATGATTTTCTGATTTTAGGGATTAAGTGACTTAAGTAACTTGTCGCCGTGGCTAGTGTGACTCAGTTGAACATCAACCTGTGCATGAGGAGGTTGCTGGTTCAATTCCAAGCCAAGGCATGTGCCTGGGTTTCCGGCTCCATGCCTGGTAGGGAGTGTGCAATGTTTCTCATTGATCTTTCTATCTCTCCCTCTACCTTCCTCTCTCAAAGAACTTGTCCTGGTCATCCTGCTATTTGAAACCTTCCAACACATGGGCACCATTCAGTTTACATAACCAAGTAAAGGATGCTGAGTCAGCTCCTGAATGTGAGGTAGAGTCTCCAGCTGAACTGAAATATCAATGATTATGAATCAAGAAACAGCAGCTATCTGACCCCAAAACAAATTCCTGTTCTGGGCTGCAGCCTAAAGACTGTCAACCAGGGACAAATTGTCTCACCACAGTAGGAAGTCTCACCACAGACTGGTAGAAAGCTTTTGTCCTATGCATGTATGATGGTACAAAAAAAATAAAAATTGAAAATCCCTTCCTCCTCTTTCCAAAAGAGTTAGGGTCAATGTGAAAAAAAAAATTCTGGCCATACGGCCATCCCTTACTTTACAGAACAGGCCGCCTAAATAAAGATGAATATGGATACAACTTCTACCCATTTTCTAACCGATTTTACAAAACTGTTGAATTAAGGAATTACTGAATTTCTGGTGCACAAGGAAACCACATAGACTCGAAGTTTTAGTTCCTGCGCAGTCCCCCACTTTCTTTTCTGTCACTCTGACTTCCACACCTTCTCTTTAGGAAACCCTAACTGCCCATTAGGCTCCTGGGTCCACACACCTCCTTGCCAGTTCCAAGAAGGGGCGACAAAAACTCGGCTGCAATGCCACATCTCACCGGCAGGTGCCGCAACCCTCACACTTGACAGCCGCCAACTTTCAAATTACTAACCACCGGCAGCCATTTAGTGCCTCTTGTATACTTTGCCTAGCTTGGTGGGCGCTTCAGGTCAACCCCGCACCGGTGGGGTAACACGTGACACTTAGATTAGTTAAATCATAGAAGGTGCTTTGCATGACTGAATTATGGTGAGGCGGCAAGGAAGGGCAGGAACTCGAGTCTGCTGCAGCTGTTTGAGCCGGGAAGACTGGTGGGGGCCCTTGTCCATTTTCCTGTCGCTTGCCACCAAGCTGCTGCTATGTCCCCCAGTTTGGAATCCGGAATTGGGCTCCTCTCTGGCCAAGCGGCAGTGGTGCTGGGGGCAGGGAAAGTGGTGTCACAGCTGGGCCTGGCCCCGGTCCATGTGGCCACATTACCTACCGGCTTCCTACAGGAACTTCTAGAAGGCTGACCGCCCAGGAGAGAAAGAGGACACGCTCCTGGGGTCCGAAAGGCTGGCGAGCGCTGGACCTCCAACTTTCCTCCTCCAACCTCCGGGCCTGCACCCCGTCTGCCTGCGAGACCCACCCCGGCGAGTGAGGCGCGGGCTTGGCTCTCCCATCACCGGCGCCAGGGGGGCCGCGGCTCCCCGCACCTGCCCCGGGGTCCGCAGTCTCAGAGCCGGCCAGGCGGGGGCGACCGCGGGAGGCAGGACGACGCGGCGCCCCGCACGCACCGGGGAGGCGCGGCGGAGGGGGGGGCGGGGGCGCCGGGGCCCGTGCGCTCGGGGAGGGGGGGGGGGCTCCGCCGGGGCTCCACGGAGACGCACGCGCGTGCGCAGGGAGGCGCCACGTGCTGGGCCCGGAGCGCGCGGAGGCCGAGCGCGGCGAATCCACGTGCGGGGCCGCCTCACGGAACCGACCGCCTCACGGAACCACCCGCCGCCGCGCCCGTGCGGGCGGCCGCCCCCGCCCCCGCCCCGCGCCCAGCCCAGCCCAGTCCCATTCGGCTCAGCGGGTGCCGGACCCGGGTCCGAGCACCGCGAGGCGGCGCCCCGGCCGCCGAGGGCTGCCGAGGGGCGGGGCCGCCGTATTGTTCCTCCCCAGAGGCCGGCCCTGCCTCCCCTCCCCTGGCCCCGGGCGGGGCGCGGTGCCGCCGCCGCCGCCGCCGCCGTGGAACGCGGGCCCGCGCCCCGCCTTTGTCTCCCGGCGCGAGCCCCGGGCCGCCGCCGCCGCCGCCGCAGCCGCTCCGTGCACGCGGCGCGATGGACTCGGGGAGCGGGGACGACGGGCGCGGCGAGGAGCCGGGGAGCCTCCGGGTGGACGTGACGGTGTCGGAGCTCATGGAGCTCTTCCTGCAGAGCCCGCTGGTGACCTGGGTGAGTGCGCCCGGCTCCCGCCCCATTGTTAGTGCCCCGGCCGCTCTCCCGCCGCCTGCGGGTGCCCCACGCCGGCCCCGGCCGGCCCCGGGTTTCGGGGGGGTCTTAGCAGGTGCTCCGGGATGGAGTCCGGGTCCGAGTCCCGGGGCCCCGAGGCGTTTCCAACTCCGGAGCGGCGCGCTCCCCGCCCCGAGAGCGGCTGCACCTGTTCCCGCCGCCGGGGCTCCGGCCGCCGCTGCCCGAGCGGACCGGGTCCGAGTGGTCGCCCCGGCCCCTGCGGCTGTGCCACTCGGGAAAGGGACTCACTTCCCCAGCGTCTCCTCGTGTAGTTTTTGAACCCGAGACCAGCCGGTGGATGGCGGTGACGGGTGGGGATTTGGGGCGGGAGGGTGGTAAGGAGGGGTGTCTCCGAGTGGAAACGCTTACGGGCTGCGGTGGGTGCAGCGATTTCCAGTAGATCTGAGACGTGAGACATTTGTTGGAAAGTCCCTTTTATTTTATTTTTTATTTTCCCCCCTCCATTCTGGCATGCTGGGGAAAGGTGGCGAGGAAGTTTTCCTCCTGCGGAGTCGCGTCTGTTGCCTGGAGCGGGGCAGGGAGGCAGGCCCTGCAGAAAGGGGGGCTCGGTGCCTGCTGAAGCGGGGGGTCGGGGGAGGGTGACCCCTGCAGCCCTCCTCCCCCAGGGCCTTCCCCGCCTTTGCCCCAGGAGCTTTAAATGTGTGCATGTGGGGTAACGTTTCCTGCCTTTCTCTGCACATCCCCCTCCTCGCAGGTGAAAACTTTGGGCCCGTTTGGAAGCAGCAGCCATGACAACCTGACTCTGTACATGGACTTAGCCGACGGCATCTTTTTGAACCAAATCATGTTACAAATGTAAGTGGTCACCGCGGGCAGGACAGAGGACAAAAGCAGTGCTTCCGCAGGTTTGGGTTAAGGTTGTAGAAATGGAGCCCGTGGTTGCTATGGGAGGGCTCTTGGCACGTGGGGCCAATGGCATCTCAGCACAAGGTGCCCTTTGGCCGCCGTCCGTTGGGGTAAGAAGAACTCCAGGACAGGGCGAGGTTGGCAGCTTGTTTGATGAAGAAAATACGGGATGGAAGGACTGCCAAATACTTCCTATAGATGGTGCGGTTAACGTCAAACCGCTTAATGTGATTTCAGCAACGAAATTTAAAAAATATGTATTCAGAGATCAGCGAGCTGTAACGGACAGCGTCTGGTTACAGGAAGTGTCGGGTGGGTCGGGAGCATCTGTGAGTGACTAAGGTTTCACTCTCGGGTAGGACACCTGTGCTCGTGAGCTTTCTTTCATTTCATCTTCCACGTCCAGTGGCCCCATAGCTCTTCTCGTGACCCGGGTGGAAAGTCACGTGTGTGAGGAGAGGCTCAGGGAGTCAGGATGCTGTGGGTCCGATTTGGAGCGTGCATCTTCAGCAGGGTCTTGACGAGAGTTCTACTTGTTAGCGAGCATGTGTGACCACATCCTTTCTGGTGGCTGAACTCTGCAGAGCCGACTGACTGACAGCCTGCCACATGCTCCTCCCGCTCACTCTGTTTTTAACACGGCTCCTCCCCCCTCACTCTGTTTTTAACTCAGAAACTGCAGGGCAGATGCTGGAACTTGGTGTCGGTGGCACTTGAGTCTTAGGCACTGAAAGGAAAAGCAAACATCCTCATGTTCTCTCCGGATCAGTCAATCCCTTTTGCTCATCTGCAGCTAAGTGTCAGCCCTGAGCCTAAACCCTTCAGCTAAAGAGTCAGCTTCCTTTGTGGCCCCGCAGGCGGAAGGGGAGTTAGCTTTGGCATATTCAGAAAGTGATGTAAGTAGACTTTAACCTAAAAAGATCTGTTTTTAAGAAATCCCCCAAGGACGTCGCTCCTTTTGTTTTAATAAGTCGTGTGGAATCGGGCTGTGGGAGAGACACTTCCGTTCCAATGGGGTTTCTTCAAAAGCACTACCAGCCGTACCGATCCTGTGTTTGGTTAGATGCTAAGCGACAAATCGGTTGGCTTTGGCAGCGCTTCTCCCAGAACGCTGACGACAGTGAGTTTTCTCGGGTTGTCCGGTGGTGTAGTCGCGTTCTGGACCCCCCAAAATGACTGGATTCCGTTGATGCGGTGGCCAGTGAAACTCCAACCTGTCCTTACCCAAGCCCAAGGCTGTTTATTAAAAAAAAACCAGCAGTCTCCCCAGCCTTTCCATCCAGCTTTCACACCCCGGCCGGCCGAGGGAGAACCAAAGCCGGGGGGTTGTTTCTCTTTCTTGCTGACCTTTGGAATTCCTGCCGCTTTTACCACTTGCTTATAAATCAGGGAAGCTTGTTGGATGTTCCTTTGAGAAATGCCAGCTCATCTGGGCTCGTCCACACTGGGCCCGCAGCTAAATTCAGTGTATAGGGCTTCTCGCCTCCTCTTGTAAATTTGAAATGCTATTTTCTCCTCAGCGATTTGCCAAGGTAACCAGTCTAGAAGGGAGAGCTGATGAGGGTGGGCCTAAGGCCCTCATCAGGGCTTCTGGGTCTCTCCGGTCAGGGCCAGGCACAGGAAAGGGTCAGCAGGGAAGCCGTTGGGTGGCTTTGCAGGACGGGGAAACCCAGGAGAGAGTGCACCGGCAGCTCTGTACCTATTGGCAGGGTGACAGAAGGACCTGCTCCAGGTGCAGGAATGAGAACGTCGGTAGCCTTCGGAAGTGGTGGGGATTGCCTGGAAAAGGGGGTACAGGAAAACTGGGTAGAAGCTTCCTGGGAAATGCCTGGAGTATGTTTTAACTCACCAAGCTATAACTTAAGATACATGCATTTTACTCTATGTAAAAACTCCCTCAATTGACAAAAAGCAAAAATGAATTCCAGGCCCAGTGTCAACCCATAGGGAGCCAGCCTGGGTTTGAAGTCCAGATAGCTCTCATCTTGGCTGCCTGACCCTGGGCATGGCACACATCCCCTCAGTTTCCTCGTCTGTGAAACGGGCACTAAAGTGCCTCCCCTAAGAGATGGTTGTGAGGGTTAAATGAGATGGTGTGTTAGCATTTAGCACGGTGCCTGCCATTTAGAAGGTGTTAGTGTCCGTTATGTATATACTGTCTTCCTCCAGGAAGGATTTGAGGCATCCCGTGTGAGTTGGGTTTTTTCCTTGAGTCTTTTCTCCCACATTGCTAGTCTCCTAGATTGCTGATAATTCTTAGCCTTTGCCCTCTCCCAGTGAGGTCTGGGGGGCAGAGGAAGGGGATGTCCTAGCCCCACATCTGATACTACTTAAGCCAAGCCTCCATTTTCTGCCCAATGGAGAAATGTCCGCTACCCAGCAGGTAAGGCTCTTCTGCTTTACCACCCATGCTGGGAGCTCCCACTGTGTGCTGCTCACCTGCTTTGATCACTTCTCCCCGGTCGGTGGGACCTGAGAAGAGAGCAGTATGCTAACTGGCTTCCCGGAGAGCTCAGATAAGAGGCATGTGTGTTACCTGACACTTCAGAGCCATATGGAGGCTGGCTGGGCTCACGTGACTGCACCTGGGCATTGTCTCTGGCAACTGAAGAAGGCTGCGGCAGTCGTCGCTTGGCCCTCCCGGTGCGGTGACATCAGCGCCGGGAAGCAGGAAAGCCCTGTGAGCTCAGCTTTCAGGGGAGGCCCCGGTCTAGGAGAATTCCCGAAGGGAAGGGAGGCATGGGGTGGCGGCGATGGAGATGAGACGCATGGGAAACCTGCTGAATAGCTCCTCTGTAAACGCAGTCTCTGGGCACCTCCTGTTCCCCCGGGGAAAAGGAGGTGTCTGGTTCACGTCGGGCACATTTTCCACTCTCTCCTAGGAAAACTACCTAAGAGCTTTGATTCTAGCATCAGGCAGGCAAGTTCAAATCCCCCCTCTGCCACTCACGACTTTACTTGGAGCAAACTCCTTACTTAAACTCTCTATGCCTCCATTTCCTGATCTGTAAGAAGGGGGTGGTACTTTACAGATTCGGAGAGGATTAAAAAAGATCGTGTGTGTAGAAAAATGCCCAACTGATGTCAATCATCATCGTCATTAGAGTGAGACCCAGAATGTGTGTGTGTGTGTGTGTGTACACTTGAGAGAAAGAACACTTTTGATATGACCCAAATTGGAATCAGTAGCCCGTGATGTGTCCCCCACATCTGGGGCAGAGTGGGAACAGACAATAGTTTGCTTGTTTTGATTTGGTTCCTAATAACCTTTCTTTGCCCTGAGAGCCTTCAAGGAGGGAGTATTAATGATGGTGATAATTAGTTCACTTGCTCGCATAGTAAACGTCAGGGCACTTTGGGAGTGTGGTTTCAGTTAGCTACCGCTCTTCAGAACGGACGGGGGAAGCAGGCACGGTCAGAGCCCAGGCCCCGGCCTTGGGGTGTGGACTGTCTTCCAGGGGCAGCGAGCGTGCCCGCAGGCTGAGGCCCTTGGCTCCCGGCACTGCTGGGGAGGTCCCCGTCTGACTGAAGTGAAAGCTGAGGCGACAGTAACGACAAAACAGAAAAGGCCCTGCGTGTCCTCTGAAGTTCTGCTGTGTTATGAAGCACGTTTGTCACTCTGTGAAATGGCTTGTTATCTTTTCATGTACTGTCGTCAAGGGAGACTTGCATCTTCAAGGTAAACTATTGTGTAAAGCTAGGTGCACTTCTGCAGCTAAAAGTGCCTTTGCCGTTTAAATTCTGAACACCTCCTCTATTCCTAAATTAATTTCCACGGAACCATTAACCTTTTTTTTTTTTCCTCATGCATGCATGAACAGCTTCATGATGGATATGTAACGTGTAGGCTGGCTAGACTCTCTTACTGTGTGGAGACAGTAAAAAATGTTGTCACATGACCATTGTAAAGGGGTCCTCTGGCTTCCCCACGGTACCCACTGACTCTTTTAGGGGCTGTAGGTTGACTGCATAAAACCCCTGGCTGAGTATTGCATGTAATGAGTAAAGGGGTCCAGATATACACAGTGCAAGGTGGGGACTCATAGTACTGCTATCATGGCTGAATTTAATTTAATTTAATTTAATTTAGTTAAATTGGTGCCATGTTAGGACTTCTGAAAGAACCAGTGCAGGAAAGATTGTCCAAACAAAGACCACCTCGTCCTCTTTAGCCAGATTGGCAGGCTCCACACCTCCCCAGCTGCCCTTCGTTACTCCCAGTCCTTCTCAGATTTTTTCCTTGAGAATCTTTTTCTTCTTCTCTATTTTTTCTCCAAATATATATATATATATATATATATATATATATATATATATATATTGATTTCAGAGAGGAAGGAAGAGGGAGAGAGAGTTAGAAACATCCATGATGAGAAAGAATCATGGATCAGCTGCCTCCTGCAAGTCCCCCACTGGGGATTGAGCCCACAACCCAGACATGTGCCCTGGACCAGAATTGAACCTGGGACCTTTTAGTTCGCAGGCCAACGCTCTATCCACTGAGCACACCAGCTAGGGCTCCTCTATTTTCTTTCGTCTGCAGAACTCTTCTCTGATCCGGCGCCGTGATGGCATAAGCAGGTGCACATTCAATTCGGGATGCGATAGGTTCAATGGCATTGTCATGCCAGTTGGTTATCTTACAAGCTTCATCCCAGGTAACAGGAAGGCTGCGGTGAGGCTGTTCCACCAGCAGTTCCCTTGCTTTGGCACAATTCCTCAGTTAATGTAGCCAGCTGTTCCCCACCGCTGCTAGGCCGGTCAGTTCGTAACTGCCATTTCCTTCGTGGTCATGTTCACATGCTGGCCCAGTGGCACCTGCTACCTTCTCTCTTTGCCGGGTCTTCACTTGGGCTTCGTTTACATTTGGATAACTGTGGTGCTCCAGTACCCCCGCTGTGATCGTGGCCTCTTCCCTCATCACTTCATCCATCCACAGTTTAGTCTCAGTCTCTGTTATCTTCAGGCTCTTGTCAAAATCCAAGAGTTTGTTTTTCTCCATTGTTCTTCCAGTGACATTTGAAATGATTTCTACGTATAGATTTTTTTTTCCTATGTGTCAATTTTGTATTAATTATTGACTTCCAATAAGCCGAGTGTCATTGAGATTGACTTCCATACCCTCCCAAACCCCCCTTCGTTTATTGAGGGGGCGGGGTACAGCCGAAAGAGGAAGAGGCCTGTCTCTCCGCCATCACACCGGCTCCCAGGAGGCCCAGCGCCCTCATCACCGGCTGGGGTGACAGATGAAACCGTGAAGATAGCCCTCATTTGAATTAGACGTCCCTCCTGGGTCTTGGGACAGTAACGCGCGGGGGAGGGCTTTGTTATGAAAAGCAGGAGAGGTGGCAGCTAAATCGTCCTGTTCTGTCTGTCCTCTTCAGATAGGAAACCCTTTTTGTAACCGAGAATTGTGAGGCGTATCATGTACAGATGTAGATGAGTGCAATTTTAAGTCACTGGGTTCAGATGACTACGCTCATCGTGGCCACACCGGACTTTTGCCCGAGAGTGGAAAATAAATGACGCTTTTGGGGGTTTCCCACAGGCGATGCTTGTCTCTTCACGGTTAGCATTTCTCATGGGCTGCGCTGTTTACTGGATAGTGCCACGGACTGATGTCCGTTGTCCAGGTGGGATCCTGTCCCCAGAATGTAAAACCCACAGGCAGGATCAGCGTGAGGCCAGTGCTGGTGACGGGAAGGGAGCCCGTGTGAAGTAGAACACGAATGATTCTTACTGATTTACAGAACATGTACCATTTTTTCCCCTTTTTTCTTTCTTGATGATTCGTATGTTTTCGTGTGATCAGCTTTTCATCTTGAAATATATTTGGGGGTAGGTCAGTGATTTTTACCCTGTAACTTTCTGTGTCTGCACTGCATTTGGTGGTGGTTTAGGGGTGCTGCCAGCAGTGGGAATGGGAATGGAAATGGGATGGAATGGAAATGCCATTGATTAAGGGCCTGAGTAGGGTGGGGATGTGGGAGCCGGGGTGGGGGCGTGGGAGCCGGAGTGGTGTGTGTCTACAGTGCAGCAGAATTGGGGTTTGAATAGCCCCCACTCTCCTAGGCGTGGGGAGGGCTGCCCAGCGCTGCGAAGGGAGGTGCGGTCAGTGCTGGGGACGCCGTTTCCATTCTCGTGTTTCCTCCCCCCCGCAGAGACCCCCGGCCTACGAATCAGCGCATCAACCAGCACGTGAACAACGACGTGAACCTCCGCATCCAGAACCTGACTGTCTTGGTGAGAAACATCAAGACCTACTACCAGGTGAGGGCAGCCCTTTGCTCCCCGGGAGCCTGTGCTCCTGGCCGTGTGGCCACTCCGATGGTTTCCCCACAGGAAGCCCGCAGGAAATGCTGTTCACGCTCAGGCATCTGCTGGCGGCCAGTTGGTGTGTTTTTTCACTCGCATCTGTGTTTTGCATTGTGAGGGGGTCACATGTCCAGGGGATGGCCTCTGAGCGGCGTGCGGGGCATCAGGTCTGGTGCTGGGAGGGCCCCAGAGATAGATGAGCCTCCGCTCGCCCCTGTGGCCCCAAGCACCAGCCTCCCGGGGAGTGGCCGGCCTGGGCACCGGGAGGGGTACCTGATGTGGTTATCACCCACAGCTCAGCGAGCCTTTGAACAGCAGCAGTTCACGGGGTGGTAGGAGATACGGGACACTGAGGGGTTACATTGGGTCAGGACTGTAATCGGCGAGCCTCCAGCGTGCACACGGCAGCTGGAGTTCACCTTCACCGTGTGGAATGCCCGCTTGCCCGTGCTCCCCGCTCCTCACTAGCAGACAGTCTGTGGTAGGAGGACCTAATGGGGAAGGGCTGTTAACATCCCCTCCCCAGCCGAAGCTGGCTTGGCTCAGTGGATAGAGCGTTGGCCTGCAAACTAAAGGGTCCCAGGTTCGATTCCGGTCAAGGGCATGTACCTTGGCTGTGGGCACATCCTTAGGAGGGGGTTTGCAGGGGGCAGCTAATCGATGTTTCTCTCTCATCGATGTTTCTAACTCTCTCTCTTCCTTCCTCTCTGTAAAAAATCAATAAAAATTTTTTTTAAAATCCCCACCCCAGCCTTGGGAAGGTAGGGTGAAGTCTTTGATATTTGCGGTCTTTATATGGCCAGCACTAATGCAATACGGACCGAAACTTCCCCACAGGGCCCTGGTTCTCAAACTTTTCTGAGCGCTGAAACTCTCCCCCCACCCTCAGGAGTTTTTTTTAAGGTCTCAGGTGACACCCAATGGCTGATTGACTTGGGGGTTGGGGTGCTTTCTGCTCAGCCCCCTCTCCCCTCAGGGCATCTCTGTGGGTTCCTGGGACCCTAGGGAGCATGGTTGAAGAACCACTCAGAGCTAATCGACAAGTCCCAGATCATGCCGAGGTTTCACCGAGGCCCTGGGCCAGACCCGGCCTGTGAGCCCGTCCTCGGCCCGCAGCTGTGCTCATCCCGTGGCCTGTCAGCCTCACAGCACCGTGCCTCTCCCAGCAGCCTCTGGGGGCTTCTAACCAGCCCCCTCCTTTCAGTTAGAAATGCCAGCGGCCCTGAGTGGCTGGGAGGCAGGGCAGGGCAGGGCCTGGGAGGGCGGGGACCATGGGGCTGGAGTGGCTTTGTTTCTTCATCTGAGGGGAACCACACTGAGGGCTGGGTGTGCCCCAGGCTGGTGGGCTTCAGCTCCTGCTGCTCTTGGGACAGCCACGGGCAGGCGAAGCTGGGCAGAGGCAGTGGTGCTGCCATTGAACTTGGGCCTGGGCGTGAAGGGGCTTGATTCCTGGCTGCGGGCACCATTCGTGGTAAGCAGGTGCTTTTGATGCTGAGTGCTAGTGCCGGGGAAGTGGATGGTGCCAACAGTGCAGTAGACAAGAACCCTAACTCTGGCTGTGTGGGGGGCATTTGGGAATGCTTCTTGGAGGAAATGGCTCCTGAGTGGACTGATGGTGGGCAACTGAGTTTCCAAGTTTGGAGGATGACGGACGGGAAGGAAAGAGGAGGAAAAGTGTTGAGGTGGAGGAAGTCCTGGAGGCACAAGACAGTCCTGTCCTGCGTCCGTCACAGTCAGCACTGGCCCAGTTGCTGGGGCAAGGGCCTGTTTCTCCTGGTTCCTGATGAATCAACACCAGGGAGAGATGTCAGGCCTCCCGTGGTGGGCAGGCCTCCCACCTCAGGTGCTGCTGGGAGGTCATCGCCTCTCCCTTGTGGCAGTGATGAAGGCCTCAGGTGGAGATGCGGTGTTTTCTTTTTTTTAATATATCTTATTGATATTTTTACAGAGAGGAAGGGAAAGAGATAGAGAGTTAGAAACATCGATGAGAGAGAAACATGGATCAACTGCCTCCTCACACCCCCCACTGGGGATGTGCCCGCAAGCAAGGTACTCGACCTTGACCGGAATGGAACCCAGGACCCTCAGTCCGCAGGCCAGTGCTCTATCCACTGAGCCAAACCGGTTTCAGCAAGGTGCGGTTTCTGAGACTCTCCATGAGCAGCCCGGGTAGTCAGGCCATGCACAAGCCGGCCTCTGCCTCGCTGGCTGAGGAGTGTGCACCGTCCTCAGCCAGCAAGGCAGAGGCCGGCTTGTGGTCAGGTCTAGGCTGGCCCAGGGGGCTCGGCACCGCTTGGGATCTTGTCGAGTTGCAGGCCGTTTGCTGCTCTTGGGAGACTGGGTAGAGCTCCAGAGCACGGGAACCACGTCAGGAAGGAAGAGAGGGCATCCTCCCTCCCGGCCCAGAGAGAACTGTGGGGAAGGAAGGAGCCTGCCTCCCAGCTCAGCGTCTGCACTGTTGGCCTCTGCTCTGAGGGCAGGGCTGTCAGTGCGGCAGCCCCCGCCTGCCGGGCGCCCAGTGTAAATGTTTGCGGAGCCCTGGCCCTCGGTCCTGCTCACGCGGACAGCGCCACGGGGCGCTTGCCTCTGGGCCGACCCAGGTAGGCGTGGGCAGGGTTGAGCTGTGTGTGTTCTTGCTTCTGATTTACTATAAAATAAAGTTAAGTCCTGGTCCTATAAGGCAGTAGTTGGCAAACTCATTAGACATTTCTTTTGATAGCCACATTTTTTAAACTTAAATTTCTTCTAATGCCTCTTCTTCAAAATAGACTTGCCCAGGCTGTGGTATTTTGTGGAAGAGCCACACTCAAGGGGCCAAAGAGCCGCATGTGGCTCGCAAGCCTCAATTTGCCGACCACAGCTATAAGTAATATGTGCTTTGTATAAACAGCTTGGAAAACAAACAGGTAGCAAGAAAAAAAGACCCTCGGGAGCAGTGTTAGCATTTCCTCCCAGTGCACCCATGAATAGGTTTTGTTTCTCGCCGCTGTGGTCGTGCCTTACATACAATCGCACATCCTGCCTGTTCCCCTCCCACCTGACATTGTGGCAGAAGCATAATTGGTCATTATTGTCTGGCAACATTCAAGCAAGTTTTCCAGGGAAGTGCTGCCCAGTGTCCCCTGGTGTGAGGGCTTGGATGAAGTGAGGCAAGCATTCCTTACTCTGACCAGGGGGATCACCCTCAAGTAGAGGGGGGCTCCCCCCTGCCCCTGGCTCTTCAGTCAGGCCACGGAATCCAGCCCTGGGCCGTGTTTGCCAGGCAGCGGGTCTCACCTGACCGACCTTTCCTGAGGCCCCGGGGCCGGAGCAGTTAGGAAGGCCAGGGTCTCTCATGAACAGCATGGGCTTGTTTCACAAGAAGCTTATGCTTTGCCTCTGAAAGCCTGTGGAGACCTTGTCCTTGACCTTTTCCAGAAGACAGAGGTGGGTGAGGCACAGGCCAGGCTCGGTCTGACCGCCGGTGTCTCACTCAGCCAGCATCTCAGGCCTTGTCCTGGCCTGGGGCTTGGACTCCTCTGGAGTGGGGGCCAGGACTCTGTATTTTCAGAAGTTCCCCTGCTGTTGAGTCTTTTTTTAAATAATTTATTTTTAAAATTTTTTTATTAAATTATCTGTGTACATATACCATTGCCCCTCCCTTCCATATATGCCCTCCCTCCCCAGAGTTTTGTGTCCATTGGTTGTACTTATATGCATGTATACAAGTCCTTCGGTTGATCTCTTATCTACCCCAGATCTCCCTCCCCTGCCCACTGTAATTTGACAGTCTGCTTGTTGCTTTACTGTCTCTATATCTTTTGGTTCATCAGTTTATAATGTTCTTTATTATCCATAAATGAGTGAGGTCATGTGGTGTTTCTCTTTCATTGACTGGCTTATTTCACTCCGGCTGTTGAGTCTTACCGTCCTTCCTATTATGCCGGGAATCAGTGGGCTAGAGTAGTGGTTCTCAAAGGGGGGTTCCCAGCCCAGCAGTAGGGAACTTGTTAGAAACACATCTGCATCTGCGTCTGCGTCTCTAACCAGCCTCTCCCAAGACCTGCTATGGAGGTGTTGCCTCTGTCTTTCGCCCCACAGAGGATGCTGCTGCACCCTCACATGGGAACCCTGGGCTACAGAGCGTGCCTAGTGATGTCTGGAAGAGGCGTCTTCCGCCAGTTCTAGGGCAGAGAGCTCAGTTCTCCCCAGTGGCTCGTCTGCATTACATACAGCAGAAACACACCTCCTCTGCCCTGGGGCAGGTGCAGGCCTTCTCTGGGCCTCTGCGTTCTCATTGGTCAAGAAGAGGATGGGCCCTGGGAGTCCGATATTCTGCTGCCCCACAGTGACAGAGATGGCCAAGATTTAGAGTTACGATCACCTCCAGGAAGTTTTGTTTTATGAGTTCCTTGAACTCGGCTCTTCTGACTTCTCGTCTCTCACTGTGGTTAAAAGGCACAGCAGACCCAAAATATTGTTCCTTTCTAGGGGACACTTAGTATGCTTTTATTACATGTTAGCTGTTGTTATTAGCTGATTCGATTGTTTTTGGTGGGCTTTTAAAATTTTTTATTGTTGAGAGTTTTACAGATGTCCCTCATTCTCCCCCTGTGCCCTTTCCCCAATTATTGTTCTTTATCTCAAAAGAAACAGGAAAATAAATAGTCTGAGGTTGCTTTGTCTTCTGTAATTTGTTTTTTTCCTTCATTGCTTTGAAGAATTAAAAATAAAAAGTACCAGTATTTATCATGAACATCTGTGTATCTGTCATTCAAATGAGTATGAACATGCTAGAGGCCTGGTGCATGAAATTAGGGAGCAGGCCTAAGCTGCAGTCTGGCCTCCCTCTGCGAGAGGCGACCGGCTGGTCAGGGGAAGGCTCCATCCCTGTCATCCCACTGCTGCTGCCACTGCTGGCCACCGCAGCCACCCAGGTGTTTTCATCAACATGGACTCCAGTCCCTTCACCACAA